CAGCCTCTCCTGGGTTATATTAGCCTAGCCTGGGTTAGAGCTTTAGGGTTACAGCTCCCTAGATTAGATTAAATTAGATTAGTTTAGCCTAGCCTGGGTTAGATGAGCCTAGCTCTGCCTGGGTTAGATTAGATTAGCCTGTTAGCAGCCTGTTAGCCTACCCTGGGTTATATTAGCCTAGCCTATGGCAGCCTAGCATAGATTACATTAGCCTAGCTTACCTCTGTCTAGGTTAGATTAGATTAGCCCAGCTGAGCCTGTGTCAGATTAGCCTAGCCTAGCCGCTTTGTTTGCAAGATCCATTTTTGTCCCGTTTTTCCCTTTTCCACTATTCCCAATCCATCCCATTTAACCCAGTCCATCCCATTTAATCCAATCCATCCAGGTTTAACCCAATCCGTCCCATTTAACCCAATCCATCCCATTTAACCCAGTCCATCCCATTTAACCCAATCCATCCAGGTTTAACCCAATCCATCCCATTTAACCCAGTCCATCCCATTTAATCCAATCCATCCAGGTTTAACCCAGTCCATCCCATTTAACCCAATCCATCCAGGTTTAACCCAATCCATCCCATTTAACCCAGTCCATCCCATTTAACCCAGTCTGTCCCATTTAACCCAGTCCATCCAGTTTAACCCAATCCGTCCCATTTAACCCAATCCATCCCATTTAACCCAGTCCATCCCATTTAACCCAATCCATCCAGGTTTAACCCAATCCATCCCATTTAACCCAGTCCATCCCATTTAATCCAATCCATCCAGGTTTAACCCAGTCCATCCCATTTAACACAGTCCATCCCATTTAACCCAGTCTGTCCCATTTAACCCAGTCCATCCAGGTTTAACCCAGTCCATCCTATTTAACCCAATCCATCCCAGTTTAACCCAGTCCATCCCATTTAACCCAATCCATCCCATTTAACCCAGTCCATCCCATTTAACCCAGTCCATCCCATTTAACCCAATCCATCCAGGTTTAACCCAGTCCATCCCATTTAACCCAGTCCATCCCATTTAATCCAATCCATCCAGGTTTAACCCAGTCCATCCCATTTAACCCAGTCCATCCCATTTAACCCAGTCCATCGCATTTAACCCAATCCATCCAGGTTTAACCGAATCCATCCCATTTAACCCAGTCCATCCCATTTAACCCAGTCTGTCCCATTTAACCCAGTCCATCCAGGTTTAACCCAATCCGTCCCATTTAACCCAATCCATCCCATTTAACCCAGTCCATCCCATTTAACCCAATCCATCCACGTTTAACCCAATCCATCCCATTTAACCCAATCCATCCCATTTAACCCAGTCCATCCCAGTTTAACCCAATCCATCCTAGTTTAATCCATCCTATTTAACCCAGTCCATCCTATTTAACCCAATCCATCCCAGTTTAACCCAGTCCATCCCATTTAACCCAGTCCATCCCATTTAACCCTATCCATCCAGCTTTGACCCAATCCATCCCATTTAACCCAGTCCATCCCATTTAATCCAGTCCATCCAGGTTTAACCCAGTCCATCCCATTTAACCCAGTCCATCCCATTTAACCCAATCCATCCAGGTTTAACCCAATCCATCCCATTTAACCCAATCCATCCCATTTAACCCAGTCCATCCCAGTTTAACCCAATCCATCCTAGTTTAATCAATCCCAGTTTAACCCAATCCATCCTAGTTTAATCCATCCCAGTTTACCCCAGTCCATCCTATTTAACCCAATCCATCCCAGTTTAATCCATCCTATTTAACTCAGTCCATCCTATTTAACCCAATCCATCGCAGTTTAACCCAGTCCATCCCATTTAACCCACTCCATCCCATTCAACCTAATCCATCCCAGTTTAACCCAGTCTATCCCAGTCTAACCCAATCCATCCCATTTAACCCAGTCCATCCCAGTTTAACCCAATCCATCCCATTTAACCCAGTCCATCCCATTTAACCCAATCCATCCCATTTAACCCAGTCCATCCCAGTTTAACCCAGTCCACCCTATTTAACCCAATCCATCCCATTTAACCCAGTCCATCCCAGTTTAACCCACTGGGATCCAATTCCCTCTTTCCCATTGCTTTGTAATGCACAAGCGAGGGACCCGAGCGGAGCCGAAGGGAGCGGAGCCGAAGGGGGCGGAGCCGAAGAGGGCAGAGCCGAAGGTACCCGAGCGCAGCCGAAGCCGCACGAAGGGGGCGGAGCCGCAGGGGGCGGTGCCACCGGAGGCGGCCGGAGCCGAAGCCGCCCGAGGGGGGCGGAGCCGCCCGAAGGGACCCGGGAAGCTCCGAGGGGGTTCGAGAGGGGCCGATGCCTCCCACTGCCCCCCCATTAACCCCTATTATGACCCCCATTGCCCCCCATTGCTCCCATTAACCCCTATTATAACCCCTATTGCCCCCAATTATACCCCATTACCCCCCCATTAACCCCTATTATAACCCCATTGCCCCCCATTGCCCCCTAAGGCCCCCCCATTGTCCCCGGTGCCCTCCCAGGGCAAAGGCCGCTGTGGGGCAGAGGCTCCGAGCGTTCCCCATGGCGCTGGCGGGGAAAGTGGCGGCGGTGACAGCGGCCACGGATGGGTGAGTGCCCCATAGGGACCCAGAGACCCATAGGGACGCATATGGACACATAGAGATCCATAGGGACCCATAGAGACCCCATATCCCCCAATGTCCCCCCCATAGACACTCCATAGACCCCCATATCCCCCCATGGCTCCCCATTCCCCCCCATGACAGCATCGGGCTGGCGGTGGCGGCGGCGCTGGCCCGGGCCGGCGCCCACGTGGTGCTGAGCTCGCGCCGAGCGGACCACGTGGAGGCGGCGCTGGGGCGGCTTCGGGCGCTGGGCCTGGAGCACGTGACCGGCTGCGTGTGTCACGTGGGGCGGGCCCAGGACCGGCAGGCACTGGTGCAGAAGGTGAGACCCGGAAATGGGGGGGGGGCACTTGTGGGTCCCAGCCCCACATTTATGGGTCCGTCCCCCCCCCCAGGCTCTGGACACTTATGGGGGCATCGACATCCTGGTGTCCAACGCGGCCACGAACCCCGTCATGGGCAGCACCCTGGAGGCCGAGGAGGAGGCGTGGGAGAAGGTGTGAGCCATAGGTCCTGCCCCATAGACCCTGCCCCACAGATACTGCCCCATAGACCTTGCCTTATGGCTCCTACCCCTTATATCTGCCCTATAGACCCTGCCCCATAGATACTGCCCCTTGTATCTGCCCTATGGATCCTCCTCTATTGATTCTGCCCCTTATATCTGCCCTATAGACCCTGCCCCATAGATCCCGCCCCATAGATCCCGCCCCATAGGTCCTGCCATTTAGCTCTGACCCACAGATCCTGCCCCACAGATCTTCCAGGTGAACGTGACCGCGGCAGCCATGTTGATCCGCCTCGTGGTGCCCCACATGGAGAAAAGGGGGTGAGGGGGGGCGGGACTTGGGGGGGGCGGGGGGGCCAAGCCTTGGCCACGCCCACCCCACTGTGGCTCCTCCCTAACCCTGACCCCCCCCCAGGGGAGGCTCCATTGTGGTGATGTCATCACTGGCCGGGTACATGCCCTTCCCGGTGAGCTGTGGGGCGCTATGGGGCAGGCTATGGGGCGGATAGAGCACGCTATGGGATGTCTATGGGGCTGGCTATGGGGCGGAGATGGAGCGGGCTATGGGGTGTCTATAGGGTGAGATCTGTGGGGTTGCAGCCATGGCATGGGGCCTATCAGGGGGATCTATGGGGCTGGGTATGGCGGATATGGGGTGTCTATGGGGCTGGTTATGGGGCGGAGATGGGGCAGGCTATGGGGTGTCTATGAGCTGAGATCTATGGGGTTGGAGCCATGGCATGGGGCCTATCAGGGGGATCTATGAGGCTGGGTATGGTGTCTATGGGGTGCCTATGGGGCGGCGATGGAGCAGGCTATGGGATGTCTATGGGGCGGGATCTATGGGGCGGGCTCCCTCCCTCCCTCGCTCCCTCTACCTGTGCTGCGCTGCGATTGGCCGGGGCTCAGTGACGTCACCGTGGGGCAGGCGCTGGGGCCCTATAGCGTGAGCAAGGCGGCGCTGCTGGGGCTGGTGAAGGCGCTGGGCCCGGAGCTGCGGCCCCGAGGGATCCGCATCAATGGGGTGGCCCCGGGGCTCATCCGCACCCGCTTCAGTAGGGCCGTGAGTGAGGGGGCTCTGGGGGGTGTCTATGGGGCTCTATGGGGGTCTACAGGGGCTCTATGGGGTCTCTGTGGGGGTCTATGGGGGCTCTGTGGGGGTCTATGGGGCTCTATGGGTCCCAATGGGTCTCTGTGGCTCCCTATGGGGTCTCTATGGGGTTTCTATGGGTCCCTATGGGTCTCTATGGGGTCCCTATGGGTCTCTATGGGTCCCTATGGGTCTCTATGGGGTTTCTATGGGTCTCTATGGGGTCTCTATGGGGTCCCTATGGGTCTCTATGGGGTTTCTATGGGTCCCTATGGGTCTCTATGGGGTCCCTATGGGTCTCTATGGGGTTTCTATGGGTCCCTATGGGTCTCTATGGGGTCCCTATGGGTCTCTATGGGGTCTCTATGGGTCTCTGGCAGCTCTGGGAGGACGAGTCCATGCGGAACCACGTGATGAAAACCATGGGCATCGACAGGTGGGTACCATCACATGACCCCCCCCCCCAATCACATGACACCCCCCCATTCCCCTCTCACCACGTGACCCCCGCAGGCTGGGCACGCCCGATGACGTCGCCGGGGTCGTGACCTTCCTGTGCTCCCCCGCGGCCGCTTACGTCACCGGGGAGACGCTGGTGGTGGCGGGCGGCGCGCCCTCCCGCCTCTAGGGGGCGCTGCAGCGCCGGTCACGTGGCGCCGGCAACATGGCGGCCTCCACTGGGGGCGGCCGCATTGGGGGGGGGGGGTGTGTAAGGATAAGCCGCCCTCTTTTATAAAGTGTAATGAGGGATTCGTGTATGCAAATAAGATGCAAATGAGACTTAATGTGAGGCTCAGCGCCGCCGATGGAAACCTATAGGGGAAACATGGTGCGGGGGGCGGGGTGTCAGTGCCCCATAGCTGCCCCTATGGTGCAGGCAACCCCAAGGCATGCTGGGATAGACTAGGACTCACCCTTTCTCTTCTTCCTCTTCCCATTGGCTGCCTTTTTCTTCCTCTTGGCGGGCGGCGCCTCCTGATTGGGCGGCTCCCAGAGGGCGGCCGAGGCCCCGAAGTGGGTGATGGCGGCCAAGGCCCCGCCCCCCGATGACGTCATGCGCTGACGGCGGCGCCGCGCGGCCCGTTCCTGGCGGCTCTCGCTCAGGCGCAGGAGCAGCGACTCCTCCAGGCGGGTCCTGACCCACAACAGAGACCCGTAGAGACCCATAGGGACCCCATAGAGACCCATAGGGACCCACAGAGCTCTATAGAAACCCCATTGAGACCCACAAAGACGCCAGAGAGCCACAAAGCGACCCCAGAAGAACACCGCCCCTAAGTGACCCATAGACACCCCACAAGGGGCCACCTCCTGCCCCACAAGTGCTGCCCCCAACAGCCCAATAACCACTCCTTCCAGCCCCATAACCACCCCTCCCAGCCCCATAGCACCCCATATTCACCTCCTCCAGCCCCATAGCACCCCATAACCACCACTTCCAGCCCCATAGCACCCCATAATCACCCCTTCCAGCCCCACAGCACCCCATAAACACTCCCTCCAGCCCCATACCCACCCCTCCCAGCCCCATAGCACCCCATAACCCCCCTTCCCAGCCCCATAACCACCCCTCCCAGCCCCATAGCACCCCATAACCCCCCCTCCCAGCCCCATAGCGCCCCATAATCCCCCCCCAGCACCCACCTCTCCACATCGCCCCTGTGGGGCCGCTCGCCGCCTGCCCCCCGGCTGCCCCACAGCTCTTGGGGGGCGTCGCTGAGCTCTTCCCTCAGCTCCCGCAGCACGGAGCTGCTGAGGGCCCGGCGCTGCGCCGCCTCCTGCGCCCGCTGCTCCCGCCCCACGGAATCTATGGGGCGCAGGCACCCGTCAACGCCTCCCATTGAGCCCTATGGGGGCCGGGACGTGTGGGGCAGGGCCCCGCACTCACCGTACTGCACGGGGAGGATGTGGGGGGGGACGTAGCGGCGCCCGCCCCCTAAGCCAGGGGCCTTCGGCGGGGCTGCTTCAGGTTCCTATGGGGCAGAGAAAGCGTGAGCTGCCCCGTAGCACACCTACACCCACCCCATAGCACCCCACAGCTCACCTCGGCCATGTTGGAGGGCTCCGGATGGAAGGCCAAGGGGTGCTCGGCTCCTATGGGGCAGTTATGCGTTATCTATGGGGTGGCAACACCCCATAGGGAGGCGCTTATGGGGCAGGGCTTACCTGGGGCCCCCATCATGGCCGCCCGCAGCAGCTTCTCCACTTGGTACTTGAGGCGGTGCTCGATGGGGCGCAGCTTCTCCAGGACCTATGGGGCAGCCCCATAGAGCCCAACCCCATAGATCCACCCCCCCGCACCCCTTATACCACCCCCATAGACCCCCCCAACCCCATAGACCCCCCCCAGCCCCACAGACCCCCCTTGAAAGCCCTCTGAGGCCCGCTATGGGGCAGCCCCCCAAGTGTGGGGCAGGCCCCCCCTCACCACACGGGTCTCCAGGAGGCGGGGCAGGGCCGGGAGCCCCCCCAGGGTCCCCCCCCGGGTCTTGGCCCCCAGCACTAGCCCCAGGTCCTGCAGGTACTGAAGCAGCGCCTGCGCCCGCAGCTCCAGCAGCGACAGCCCCTGCGGGGAGACAGGGAAACCCCATAGCGACCCATAGGAACCCATAGGGACCCCATAGAGACCCACAGAGACCCCATAGCAACCTATAGGAACCCATAGAGACCCACAGGGACCCCATAGCGACCCATAGGGACCCACAGAGACCCCATAGCGACCCATAGGAACTCAAAGCAATCCATAGGGACCCACAAAAACCCATAGGGACCCACAGAAACCCCATAGAGACACACAAAGACCCCATAGAAACCCCATAACAACTCATAGGAACCCACAAAGACCCATACGGACCCAGAAAGACCCCATAGCACCACCATAGTACCTCTATATTGCCCCATAGGACCCCTATATTACTCCATAAGATCCCCATATCACCCCACAGCAGCCCCACAGTATGCCCCTGTCGCCCCATAGCACCCCCCCTAGGCTCCCTTGGTACCTTCTCAGTGCGGAGCTTCCCCCCCCGCACCCTCTGCAGCAGCGCCCTCCCGTGCTCGGTCACTGCCGCCACCTGCAGCGGGGGGGGTAAATGGGGCTCTAAGGAGGGTAAATGGGGGTCTATGGGGGATAAATGGGGGCCTATGGGGGGCAAATAGGGGTGTAAGGGGGGTAAATGGGGGGTCTAAGGGGGGTAAATGGGGGTCTAAGGGAATAAATGGGGGCATAAGGGGATAAATGTTGGTCTAAGGGGGCAAATGGGGGGTAAATGGGGGTCTATGCGAGTAAATGGGGGTCTATGGGGGGTAACTGGGGGTCTAAGGGGGGTAAATATGGGTCTATGGGGGTAAATGGGGGTCTAAGGAGGTAAATAGGGATCTATGGGGTGTAAATGGGGGTCTAAGGGATATACACGGCGGTCCGAGGGAGTAAATGTGGCTCTAAGGAAATAAATTGGGTCTAAATGGGTAAATGTGGGTTTAAGGGGTGTAAATGTGGGTCCGAGGGGGGAAATGGGGGTCTGAAGGGATAAATGGGGGCCTAGGAGGGGTAAATGGGGGTCTAAAAGGAGGTAAATGTGGCCCTAGGGGGGGCAAATGTGGGTCTAACGGGGGTAAATGGGGGTCTATGGGGGGTACATGGGGGTCTATGGGGGGGCAAACGAAGGCCCGGACCTGCCCCTGCAGAGCATCCAGCAGCACGACCGCCTCCGCCGCCGCCATCTTGAAACAGAAGGGATGAGGGGAGGAGGCAGCTGCCAATAAGAGCGCGGAGCCGGGGTGTGGGCCAATGGAAGGGCGAGGAGGGAGAGGAAGTCCCGCCTCCCCGCCGCTGAGCGGGACGGGGTGCGCGACAGCGGAACGGACCAATGGGAGGCAAGAAGAGAGGCGCTGGCCAGCCCCCGGCGTGGTTGGGCGGGATAAGGGGCGGGGCTAAGAGCGGGTTTGGCCAATAGGAGGCCGAGGCGCGAGGGAGGGGTGAGCGGCGCGGCCAATGGGAGGGCGAGGAGCGGCCCTGGGCGCGCCATAAAGCCCCACAGAGGAGCATAGAACCCCATAGACCCCTATAGACACCCCATAGACCCCTATAGGCATCCCATAGACCCCTATAGACACCCCCGCGACCCCTATAAAACCCCACAGACCCCTATAGACACCCCATAGACCACTATATACATCCCATAGACCCCTATAGGCACTCCATAGAACCCCATAGACCCTTACAGGCACTCAGCAAACCCCTATAAGCACCCTGTAGAGCCAATCAGACCCCCATAGGCACCCCATAGACCCCCATAAACACCCCATAGACCCCTATAGATATCCCATAAACCCCAGATACACCATAGACACCACACAGCCCCGCATAGACACCCCATATCCCCCCACAGATACCCCATAAAGCCCCAGACACCCCACCAGACACCCCATGGACCGCTACAGAAATCCCACAGACCCCCCATAGACCCCCATATTCCCCCATAGACACCACCTCCACCACTCCTCATCCTCCTCCTCCTCTTTATTCCCCATCCCCTCTCTATGGGGCAAGGGGGGGGTACCCCCATTTCCCCCTCCCATTTCACCGCCGCCCCCCCCTGTCCCTCAATGGCGTGCTCCGGCTGCGGCTCCTCCTCTTCTCCCCTCCCCCTCCCCTCTCCCTATCGCTGGCTCCGCCCCCCGGCCCCGCCCCCCCCCTGCGGTGATGATGATGATGGTGATGATGGTGATGATGGTGATGGTGATGATGGGGGGGGGAGGAAGACCCCGCCCCCCCTCCTCCTCCTCCTCCCCCCCCGCTGCTGGGGGCGGAGCCGGTGGGCGGGGCCCGCTTGTCACGTGAGGAGGCGGTGGGCGGGGCCCCGCGCTGCTGCTGCTGCTGCTGCTGGCGCTGCTCCTCCTCCTCCTGCTCCTTGCGGCGGCGCTCGCGCTCCCGGGCCCGGGCGGCTCGCTCGGCCTGCTTCTGGACGAACTGGGGGGAAACAGAGGGGTTTGGGCAAAAATGGGGGGAAAACGGGGAAAACAGAGGGTTTGGGAGGAAAACCAGCAGGGATGGGCAAAAACAGAGAGAAAATGGGGAGTTTGGGGGAAAAAACAGCAGGTTTGGGCAAAAACGGGGGAAAACGGGGGGAGACAGAGTTTGGGCAAAAATGGAGGGTTTGGGGCAAAACGCAGCGATTTTGGGCAAAAATAGGGGGCTTTGGGGTAAAATAGATGGGTCTGGGGCCAAACGGAAGTGGGTTTCCGTGGGTGAAGGCAAAGGGGGCCAATGGGGAGGGGCTATGGGGAAGGGGGCGTGGTTAAGGTAAAGCAGAGGGGCTAAGGAAAGGAGAGCCACTGGGACAGGCTCAGCAATGCGGGGGGCAGCCAATGGGAGCAAGGGCAGGATGTTAAGGGTGTTGCCATTGGTTTTTGTGTGGGGCAAAGCCCCGCCCCCTGACCTGAGTGTCAGTCAGCGGCAGCCAATAGATGCAGGGCGCTGCTTTGGTCTTGCGGAAGAGGTCATCCAGCAGCTTGGCGGGGGGCTCCTCGGGGGGCTTCTCTATGGGGAGATGGGGGTCAGCCCCATAGCGTGCCCCATTGGACCCTATGGAACCCCTTAGCCACGCCCCTCCGCTTTATAACCCCCTCCCATTGGCCCAGACCATTAAACCCCACCTCCCATTGGCCGCTGAGTTAAGCCCCTCCCTTTCCCCATAGCCCCGCCTCCCCGTTAAGCCCCGCCCCTTACCTTTCTTCTCCCCCCTCCCCTCCCTGGAGCCCCGCCCGGTCCTGTCCTTCTCCGCCATTGGCTGCCGGTGCCGGGGGCGGGGCTCCCGCGCAGAGGGGGCGTGGCCGCCGCCCAGGGGGCGTGTCCCCGTTGCCGAGGGGGCGTGGCCAGGGCTGGAAGGGGAGGGGCCTGCGGAGGGCGGGGGCGGGCCCGAGGGGGCGGGGCCTTTGTCCCGGTCCCACTCCCGCTCCCCCCGGGCCCGTTCCCGCCGCTCCATCTCCCGCTCCCGCTCCGCCCACTGTGATTGGCTGCGGCCCGGCCCGGACACGCCCCCCGGACACGCCCCCCGGCCTTGGGGGCATGACCCCGGGGGGGGCTCCTCCCCCCCCTCCAAGCGATCCGGGAGCAGGCCCCGGTGGAAGTCGAGCTGTGGGGAGAGACCCATAAATGACCCATAGGGACCCATAGGGACCCATAGGGATCCACAGGGACCCATAAGTGACCCATAGGGACCCATAGAGACCCGTAATTGACTCATATACACCCATAACTGACACACAGTGACCCATAAGTGCCCCATAGAGCCCCTCAGAGCCTCGTAAGTGACCCACAGAGCCCCACAGAGCCCCATAAGTGCTCCATAGACCCCCACAGAGCCCCATAAGTGCCCCATAGAGCCCCACAGAGCTGCATAAGTGCCCCATAGAGCCCCACAGAGCTGCATAAGTGCCACATAGAGCCCCTCAGAGCCCCATAAGTGCCCCATAGAGCCCCTTAAGTGCCCCACAGAGCCCCGTAAGTGCCCCACAAAGACCCATAGAGCCCCTCAGAGCCCCATAGAGCCCCTCAGAGCCCCATAAGTGCCCCATAGAGCCCCACAGAACCCCATAAGTGCCCCACAGAGCCCCATAAGTGACCCACAGAACCCCACAGAGGCCCGTAAGTGCCCCACAGAGCCCCACAGAGCCCCATAAGTGCCCCACAGAGCCCCATAGAGCCCCTCAGAGCCCCATAAGTGCCCCGTAGAGCCCCACACCTCCTCCTGCTCGGCGAAGTCAGCCACCAGCACTTTGGGGTTGGACTGAGGCCACTTGACCCCATGCAGGGCATTGCGGGTGGCCACGGCCTCCTCCACAGAGCAGTACTGGGGGCAAAGGCACACGTAAGGACCCATAGGGACCTATAGAGACCCCATAGAGCCCCATAGGGACCCATAGGCACCCCATACCGTGACGTAGCAGTGGGACTTGATGCGGTCGATCCAGAAGCCGTCCTCTCGCAGCCGCCCCGTGCGGCCCAACAGCTCCTTCAGCTGCCCCAGGGTGAAGGGGCGCACCTGGGGGGGATGATGTGGGGCAGAGATGTGGGGCAGCTCCGCCCCATAGGGACCCATAGAGCCCCATAGGGACTTATAGAGCCCCAGAGAGCCCAATTGTGCAGAGGGGGCGTGTCCTCGGTTGACCCCGCCCCCTGCGGCACTATACCGCCCCCTGGTGGATGTGCAGTAACGCGCTGCCTGGACCCCCCATAGCCAGCCTTTGTCACCCCATAGTGCCCCATAGCCACCCCATATCTCCCCATAGCCACCCCATAGTGCCCCACAGACATCCTATATCACTCCATAGACACTCTATATTGACCTATAGCCACCCCATAGCCACCCTGTACCTCCCCATAGCCTGTATCTCCCCGTAGCCACCCTATATTGCCCCATAGCCACCCCATAGCACCCCATATTACCCCATAGCACCCCATAGCCATCCCATAGCCACCCTATATCAGCCCATAGCCACCCTATATCGCCCCATAGCCACCCCAGATTACCCCATAGCCACCCCATCACCACATAGCCACCCCATATCACCCCATAGCGCCCCCCAGGACCAGTGACGTCACTCACGAGGTTGCAGAGGTGCACGATGGGGGAGGGGCGGGCGCGGGGGGGGGAGGGGCGGTTGGGCCCCGCCCGCACGGGGTCATCCACGGGCAGCACCAGCCCCACACCGCCCCGGGCCTGGCGGGGGGGGTCCCCTGCAGGAGAGTCCCCATAGACATCGCTATAGACCCATTATATACCATTATATACCCATTATAAACCATTATAAGCCCATTATAGGTCATTATTTGTCATTATAGACCCATTACATACCATTACAACCCCACTGTATGCCACTATAGAACCATTACAGACCATTACATGCTCCTATAGACCCACTATACACCATTATAGACCTGTATACACCATTACAAACCCACTATATGCCACCACAGACCCACTGCAGATCATTATAAGCCATTATAGACCCACTATTAACCATTATAAATCATTATATGCCACTATGGAGCCCTTATGCCCCATTATAAACCTATTATAGATCATCATATGCTGCTATAGACCCACTATACACCATTATAGAACCATTTTAGACCCATTATATGCCATCACAGACCCACTGCAATCATTACAGGCCATTATAAACCCATTATAGACTATTAGAATCACTAAAGACCCCCTAAACACCATTATGAACACATCAGAACACCACCATAGACCAGTATGGACTCCTACAAACCCATTATAAACCCACTATAGAGCGTGGGCCATTACAGACCCCCTATAAACCTGTTACAGGTCATTATAAACTCGTTATAAACCATAATAAGCACATTATAAATACCCTACAGACCGGCACTGCCACATTACAGACCATTACATACCCTTATAGATCCACTAAGGACCATTATAGCCCCAGTATAAAACACTATAGCCCCATTAAAGCCCCCTTAGACGCCCCCATAGGCTATTGCAGCTCCATAGAGCCCCCTCTCTCACCTCTCTTCACTTCCCCCTCCGTGCCAGCAGGGGGCGGTGCTCCCTCGGCGGGAGGCGTGGCTTGGGCCGAGGGGGCGGGGCCAGCACTAGCAGGGGGCGGGGCCTCCCCGCGGCTCTTCCCTTCCTCCTCAGCGCCCTCGGGGTCGTTGTCATGACGACGGCCGTTCTCAGGGGGCACATCCTATTGGTGGAGGGCAGAGTCAGGTGACCATGGGGAGGGGCCTGAAGGGGAGGGGGACGATGGGATTGGTCCGTGGTGGTTACCTGGGTGACGGTGCGGCAGATCTTGAGGGGGGGGTTGTTGCCATGGTGATGGTGCAGGTGATGGTGATGGTGGTGATGGGGCAGCCCCAGCAGGGGGGGCGGTGGGAGGGGTAAAGGGGGGTGCCCCGAGGCCACGCCCCCTCCTCCTCCTGCCCCGCCTCCTTTGCCCCCCCCTTCCTCCTCCTCTGTCTCCATTGGCCGCTCCTCTTCCTCATCCTCCTCCTCCTCCTCCTCTTCCGGGTGCAGCTCCACAACCGCTTCCGCCTTCATCTCTGGGATCAGGCTCTGCCATGGCGACGGGGGGGGTGTGTCTATAGGGGGTGGTCTATGGGGGGGTCTACAGGGGTTGTCTATAGCGGGGGGTCTCTGGGGCAGTCTGTAAGGTGGGCTATAGAGGGATCTATAGGAGGTGGGCTATGGGGCAGTCTGTAAGGTGGGCTATAGGGGGTGGTCTAAAAGGCAAGTTATAGGGAGGATGTATAGGAGGTGGTCTATGGGACAGTCTGTAAGGTGGGCTATAGGGGGATTTATAGGGGGGGATCCAGAGGGGGTGGTCTATAAGGCGAGTTATAGGGAGGATGTATAGGAGGTGGTCTAGGGGCAGTCTATAAGGTGGTCTATAGGGGGATCTACAGGGGGGATCTATAGGGGGTGGTTTATGGGGGGATCTATAGGGACTGATCTATAGAGGTGGGTCTATAGGGAGTGATCTATACGGGGGTCTATAGAAGGGTGGTCTATAGGGGGGGTCTATAAGGGTGGGTCTATAGGGGGTGGGTCTATAGGGGGTGGGCCTATATGGGCTGCCCCCATAGCGCTGCTGTACCTTGAGGCTCTCGGTGGTGATGCTGATGGACGGGCGCTTGGGGGCTCCGGTGCTGCTGCCCCAGCGCCGCTTCCGGGTGCCCCCCGGCGCCGAGCCGGCCCCCCCCTCTGCTTCCGAGCTCCCCCTGGCGGCCGCTATAGGGGCACACACATACATATAGAGGGGCGGGGCATAGAAAAGGGGGCGGAGCTTGCTATAGGAGGCGCCTATAGACCAGCGCACCCCTTCTATGGATGCGGCAGCCCTCCGCCATTGCAGCGCCCCCTGCTGGAGCGGCGCGGAAGCTGCGCTCTCGTTGGCTGAGAGCTCCACACCCCCCTCCCCTCCCTATCCCTTTAGTTCCTCCCCGCCCTCACCCCATTGGCCCTCCTCCCCCTTGGCCACGCCCCTCCCTTTCAGGCCCCGCCCCCTGCTCACAGACGACGCTGATCTTCCTCTTGAAGGCCTTGGGCCGGGCGGGGCTCTGGGGACAGAGGGGGGGGAGACACGCCCCAATCAGGAGCGAGGGGGGGTGACGTCAGCGCGGAGGGGCGGGGCCACGCAAGCTCCGCCCCCTCCTTACTCACTCCTTTCCCTCCCCCCCCACCCCACTCCTTCCCCTTGGCCCCTCCCACCCTCCCCCTCTATGGGGCTGCCCCATAAGTGACCTCCGGTGTAGGGGGGGGCGTCCGGCGCGTCCGTGGGGTGCCCCATAAGTGAACTTGGGGGTCACTGAGGTCCAATGGGTGCCCCATAAGAGAAGATGGGGGTCAGAGATGTCCATGTGCTGCCCCATAAGTGAGGTGGGGGGGTCACTAAGGTCCATGGGCTGCCCCACAAGTGGGGGGTGAAGGGTCAGTGAGGTCCATAGGGTGCCCCATAAGTGAGCTTGGGGGTCATTGAAGTCCATAGGGTGCCCCATAAGTGAGCTTGGGGGTCATTGAAGTCCATAGGGTGCCCCATAAGTGCACCTGGGGGTCACTGAAGTCCATAGGGTGCCCCATAAGTGAGCTTGGGGGTCACTGAAGTCCATAGGGTGCCCCATGAGAGAACACGGGGATCACTGAGGTCCATTGGCTGCCCCAGAAGTGAACTTGGGGGTCACTGAGGTCCATTGGCTGCCCCATAAGTGAGCTTGGGGGTCACTGAAGTCCATAGGGTGCCCCATGAGAGAACACGGGGATCACTGAGGTCCATTGGCTGCCCCAGAAGTGAACTTGGGGGTCACTGAGGTCCATTGGCTGCCCCATAAGCGTGGGGTGAAGAAGGGTCATTGATGTCCATTGGCTGCCCCATAAGTGTGGGGTGAAGAAGTGTCATTGAGGTCCACTGGCTGCACCATAAGTGGGGTTGGGTATTGTGAGAGTCCACTGGCTGCCCCATAAGTGAACTTGGGGGTCACTGAGGTCCTTGGGCTGCCCCATAAGTGAGGTTGGGGGGCAGCAAAGTCCATTGGCTGCCCCATAAGCGAGCTGCTGGGTTGCGGAGGCTCCATGGGCTGCCCCATAAGTGAAGTTCAGGGTCACTGAGGTCCATCGGCTGCCCCATAAGTGGGGTTGGGGGTCACGGAGAGACCATGGGGTGCCGCACTGGCTGCCCCATAAGTGAACTCAGGGGCCGTGGAGTATTCGTGGGGTGCCCCCTAAGTCAGGTTGGGGGTCACGGAGGTCCATGGGCTGCCCCCTAAGTGAACTTGGGGGTCCCGGAAGTGCCCCCCATGCAACTTGCAGGGTCCTGGCGATCAGTGGGGCGCCCCCTAAGTGAACTTGGGGGTCCCAGTTGTCCAGAGGCTGCCCCATAGGAGACGCGTGGGGCGCCCCACATGGCACTTGTGGGTCACGGAGGTCCATCAGCTGCCCTATAAGTGAGGTTGGGGGTCACAGGTGTCCGTAGGTTGCCCCACATGGCACTTGTGGGTCACGGAGTGATCCATGGAGCGCCCCCTAGGGCTTGTTATGGGTCCCAGAGGTCCATTGGCTGCCCCATACGTGAGGCTGAGGGCCACAGATGGCCATAGGGTGCCCCACATGGCACTTGTGGGTCCCAGAGGTCCATAGGCTGCCCCATAGGAGATCCGTGGGCTGCCCCACATGGCTTGTTATGGGTGCAGAGCTTCGAAGGCTGCCCCACGTGGCACTTGTGGGTCCCAGCTCGATCCATAGGTGCCCCATAGGGTTTGTTATGGGTCCCAGAGGTCCATCAGCTGCCTCATAGGAGCTCCATCAGCTGCCCCACACATCCATAGGGCGCCCCATACGCGATCCACGGCCTGCCCCACACGGCACTTATGGGTCCCAGCCACCGCTGGGGTGCCCCCCATGGCACTTGTGGGTCCCGGCCTGCTCCATGGGGTGACCCCCCACACTTGGGGGTCCCGCGGCTCCATCGGGTGCTGGGTGCCCCCCAAGTGAGGCCTTGGGGGGGTCCGGGGGGTCCTTTGAGCCAGCGCTGGGTGCCCAAAAGAGAGACGTTGGGGGGTCCTGACCTGGGGGGCGCCCCCCAAGTAAGGGGGCTATGGGGGGGGCATGTGTGGGGCGCCCCAGAAGTCAATGGGGTGTTGCTGTGGGGCAACTGTGGGGCTCAGGCCGCTGTGGGGCACCCGCTAAGGCATGGCAGGGGCTGGCCCCCAAGTGGAAACAGGCCCCACAAGTGTGGGGTGCCCCATAAGTGATTATGGAAGGGGGGGTGGTGCTATGGGGCACCCCATAAATAATTATGAGGGTGTTGGTGCTGCCACAGGGTGCCCCATAAGCATATATGGGGGGGGAGATTGATGCTATGGGGTGCCCCATAAGTAACTCTAGGAGCCCGCAGCGCTATGGGGTGCCCCATGAGTGATTCTAGGAGCCCGCAGTGCTATGGGGTGCCCCATAAGTGACCCTTTCGGCCTCACTGGGTGCTGTGGGCTGCCCCATAAGTAAGTATGGGGGTGCCGCATCCATGACATACCCTATAGGTGGTGGCTCTTTAGGCTGCAATGGGCGCTATGGGGCGCCCCATAAGTGACACAAGGGGTTGGTTATGGGGCAGGGCCCGTCCCTCCCTCCCCTCTGCCCCACATCTTCCCCCCCCCCCCCATGTTACCTCAGGGTCCGGGGGGCGCTCGGGGGGGGCACTCGGGGGGGGTGAGCCCCCACTTGGGGGGGGCGGTCCCGGCTCCATGGGCACCGGCGGCTCCTCGCTGTGGGGCAGAGATCAGTGGGGCTGCCCCATAGGTACCCTATGGGGGGCACTCTGCCCCATAGAGGGGCTGAATAGGGGCTTCCTGACCCATAGAAGCGCTAAGTGGGGGTCGCAGCCCCACACATTCCCCACACAAGCCCTTATCAGTGGATCTCTGCCCCATAGACACCCCATAGGGCTCCTTAACTGTGGGTCTCTGCCCCACTGCCCCCCACAGAGCCGTTAAACAGGAGCTTCCTGCCCCACAGAGGCCTTAAATGGGGCTCCCTGCCCCACACATCCCCCATAGAGCCCCTCAGAGAAGCCACACACGCGCCCCATAGCAGCGCATCCCTGCTCCATAGATACCCCAGGGCCCCTTCCCAGCCCCATATATCCCCCCCAACACACACCCCATAGCCACCACTGAGGGGGATCCCAGCCCCATAGGAACACCCCTGCCCCATAGCATCCCATAGGAACACCCCTGCCCCATAGCATCCCATAGGAACACCCCTGCCCCATAGCATCCCATAGGAACACCCCTACCCCATAGCATCCCACAGGAACACCCCTGCCCCATAGCATCCCATAGGCATACCCCTACCCCATAGCATCCCGTAGGAACACCCCTGCCCAACAGCATCCCACAGGACACCCCTGCCCCATAGCGCCCACAGGAACACCCCTGCCCCACAGCACCCCATAGGAACACCCCTGCCCCATAGCCGCCCCATAGCGCCGCGGGGCACTCACCCCCTCCCCTCTCTATTGTGTGGGGCCGGCGCAGGCGGGCGCGGCCGCCATCTTGAGCCCTTCCCAGCAGCCCCCGCGGTGGGGGGGAGGGGGGGAGGGGAGGGGCGGGGGGAGGGGCTGCAGCTCGGAGCCATGGAGACAGAGACCCCACTGATACCCTATAGGAACCCCATAGGAACCTATAGGAACCTATAGATACCCCATAGGAACCCCATAGGAACCCCATAGATACCCCATAGGAACCCCATAGGAACCCCATAGAAACCCCATAGGAACCTATAGGAACCTATAGATACCCCACAGGGAACCCTATAGGAACTCATAGATACCCCATAGGAACTCTATAGGAACCTATAGGAACCCCATAGGAACCCTACAGGAACCTATAGATACCCCATAGCAACCCATAGATACCCCATAGAAACCCTATAGATACCTACAACAACCCATATAAACCCTATAGACACCCTATACAATATTGTTACTACCCTATAGATGCTCATAGGAACCCTATGGACACCCATAAACACCGATACGAACCCTATATTGACCCATAGGTACCTACAGAAACCCACAGAGACCCTACCACCACCCTATAGGAACCAGCAGCACCTACAGGCACCCTGCAGACGCCTATAAGAATCCTATAGACACCATAGGGGCCCCATAGGCACCTATAGGGACTCTAAGGACACCCTATAGAGACCTATAGATACCCATAGGAACCTATAGGGCCCATAGAGACACCTATAAACACCCGTAGGGAGCCTGTAGAGGCTTATAGACACCTACAGCACCCCTATAGGCACCCTACAGAAACCTATAGGCATCCATATGGACCCTATAGGGACCCTACGAGCATCCACAGGCTTCTATAGGGGACCAAGACACCCCCTGGGACCCTATAGACACCAATGAGGACCTATACAGGCCCCATAGACACTCTACATCCATAGGGACTCACACAGACTCCATAAGACACAGAGGTGGAACCCGGCGCATACACACACCCCATAGACACCCCATAGAGCCCCATAAGGACCCCATAGGGACCCCAACACCCCCATGGACCCATATATAGAGCCCCCAACATCCTATACCTCCCCATACACCCTATATACAGACCCCCCACACACACCCCAGTCTCACATCCCCCCCATAGACCCCATAACCCCTCATAGACCCCATACATGAAACCCCCCACCCCGTATCCCCCCATAGACCCTATATATGAACACCCCCATATCCCCCCGACCCCATAACCCCCCCATAGACCCCATATATGAACACCCCCATATCCCCCCCCAGACCCCATAAGCCCCTCATAGACCCCATATATGAAACCCCCCACCCCATATCCCCCCATAGACCCCATCTATAACACTCCCATAAACCCCATATCCCCCTCATAGACCCCATATATGAATCCCCCCACCCCATATCCCCCCCACAGACCCCATATATCCCCCCATACCCCTATAGGCCCCCCCCATGTCTCACCTCTGGGGCTCCATGGGGGCTATGGGGGTCTCAGCCCCCCCCTCACCCTCAGCTTCATCCTTGGGGGGGGGGGGAGAGAACAGTCAGTGTGATCACATGACCCAGGCGAGGTCACATGACCCCCCCCCATATATACACTCACCTTCCTCCCTGGGGATGAGGCTGAAGACGGCGGCCGGGGGGGGGACAAAGATGGCGGCCGGGGGGTGCCCCCCCCTTCCCCTTCCCCTTCCTCCCCTTCTCCTTCCTCTTTTTCCTCCTTGGGGGCTCCCTCCCCGCCATGGGGGGCAATGGGGGGGGGCTCCTGCTCGGGGGGGGCTCCCTGGGGAGGGGGGGGCTGCTCCTCCTCCTCCTCCTCTTCCTCGCCCCCCCCTTCCTCCTCCTCCTCCTCCTCCTCCTCCTCCTCCTCTTCCTCCTCAGCCCCCCCTGTAGGAGCAGGGGCCTGGGAGGGGGGGAAACAGGGGTTAATGGGGGGGGAATGGAGGTTAATGGGGATCTATGGGGAGTAATGGGGGTTCAATGGGGTGTAAATGGGGTTAAATGGGGATCTATGGGGTCTAAGGGGGTTAAATGGGGTGTAAATGGGGTTCAATGTGGTCTAAATGGGGTTCAATGGGGATCTATGGGATCTAATGGGGGTTCAATGGGGTGTAAATGGGGCTAAATGGGGATCTATGGGGTCTAATGGGGGTTAAATGGGGTGTAAATGGGGTTCAATGTGGTCTAAATGGGGTTCTATGGGGATCTATGGGGTCTAATGGAGGTTCAGTGGGGTCTAAATGGGGTTCAATGGGGCTCTATGGGGTCTAAATGGGGCTCTATGTGGTCTAATGGGGGTTCAATGGGGTGTAAATAGGGCTCTATGGGGTGCAATGGGGCTCTACAGGGTTCAGTGGGGCTCTACGGGGGTTCAGTGGGGCTCTATGGGGTGCAATGGGGGGGTCTCCCTTCACCTTCCTCTCCCCTTCCTCCTCCTGCTGCTCCTTTGGCACGGGGCCGCTCTTCCCAGATCCTGTTTTGGGGCCATCCCCAAGGTAAAAAAAAAGGGCATTTTGGGGGGCTCATTTTGGGTCATTTTGGGTCAATTTGGGGTCATTTTGGGGCTGTGCTGACCCTCGGCCTCGGCCTCGCGCGCCTCCCGCTCCAGGCGCTGCTGCAGCAGCTCCTGCTGCTTCTCCAGGTACTCCTTGATGAAGCTGTTCTGGCTCATCTCCTCGCCCATCTTTGGGGCAAAAAACACCCATTTTGGGCCATTCGGGGCGCCCCGAAGCCTTCCCATGGGTTTGGGGGAGGTTTCGGGGGGTTTTGGGGCCGTTCTCACCTGGGAATTGGGCTGGAAAGTGGCGTGAGGGGTCGAGTGCTTCTGGAGGTTCTCGAGCATCAGTGCCTGTTTTGGGGTGAATCGGGCTGGTTTTGGGTCTCCGTGCACATATGGCCGAAAACAGCGGGTTTAAACCCAAATCTGAGCCCACGACTTCCAAAACGTTGTATTTTCCACAGAAAACATTGGCATTTTGGCTTCAAAAAGCGACTTTTGAGGCTAAAACGCCACCAAAATGATGGGGTTTCACCTCAAATCCAGCCCCAAAAGAGGGTTTGGGCTCAACCACACCAAAACCACCCAAAACCCTGCAAAGATTGCCTAAAAATAAGTTTTTTTACCCCAAATTTCCCCCAGCGCACAGGTTTTACCTCAAATCCACCTGGAAACACAACTTCGGAGCTCAAATTTGGGCAAAAAGCGGCCAAAAATGGGGTTTTCAAGCTCAAGATGCACTTTCCAGCTCAAAACTCCCCCCAAAGAGCAGATTTGAGCTCAAAAAACACCATTTTGACACCAAAAACAGTCCCAAATTGTCCAAAATGCCACTTTTTCCCCTCAAACCCTGCCACAAGTCACCAAAATCATGATTTTTCACCTCAAATTAACCCTCCAGCTGCCAAAACCCCCACTTTGACCTCGAATTCCTCCAAAACTCCCCAAAATCCCCACTTTTCCCCCAAAAACCACGTCAAGATGCCCAAAACCATGACTTTTACCTCAAATTCCCTTCAAATTGCACAAAAAGTGCCACTTTTCCCTCAAAACCCTTCCAGAACTCGGCAAAAGCGCCGCTTTCACCCCAAAAGCCCCCCAGACTCCCCAAAACTGCCGCTTTTACCCCAAAATCTCTCTCAAACTCCCACAAACCAGCACTTTCTCCCCCAAATCCCACCAGACTCTCAAAAACCACCACTCTTACCCCAAAACCTCCATTTTTTACCTCAAACCCACCACTTTTTACCTCAAACCCACCCCTTTTACCCCAAAATCACCACTTTCACCCCAAAATCACCCCTTTCACCACAAACGGCACCACTTTTACCTCAAAACCAGCACTTTTTACCCCAAAACAGGCATTTTCACCCTAAAACCTCCACTTTCACCCCAAAACCACCACTTTTTTCCTCAAAACCACCACATTCTTCCTCAAATCCTTCACTTTTACCTCAAACTCACTGGCTTTTACCCCCAAAACACCCCTTTTACACCAAAATCACCAGTTTTTACCTCAAAACTACTTTTACCTCAAACCCACCACTTTTTCCCCCAAAACCCCACTTTTCCCCCAAAGCCCCCCACTTTTACCCCAAACCCCCCACTTTTACCTCAAACCCCCCACTTTTACCCTAAACCCCCACTTTTACCCCAAACCCCCCACTTTTACCTCAAAACCACCACTTTTGCCCCCAAAACCCCACTTTCCCCCCAAAACCCCCACCTTCCCCCCACCCCCCCATTTTTACCCCAAACCCACTTTTCCCCCAAAACCACCCTTTACCCCAAAACTCCACTTTTTACCTCAATCCCATCACTTTTTACCTCAAACCCACCACTTTTACCTCAGAACTCCCACTTTTTCCCCCAAACCCCCACTTTTCCCCCCCAAAACCACCCTTTTACCCCCAAACCCCCACTTTTTACCTCAATCCCACCACTCTTCCCCCAGAAACCCGACTTTCACCCAAAATCCCCACTTTTCCCCAAAACCCACCACTTTTTACCTCAAACCCACCACTTTTCCCCCAAACCCCCACTTTCCCCCCAAACCCCCCACTTTTTCCCCCAAACCCCCACTTTTCCCCCCCAAAACCCCCCATTTTTCCCCAAACCCCCCCATTTTTACCTCTCCTCCCTTGGCGGGAACCCTGAGGCGAGCCCTCCCCTCACCGCGCATGCGCACCCGTTACCCCCCCCCCCCCCCCCCCCCAACGTTTCCCTCCCGTTCTTTTCCCGTTTCCCTCCCGTTTCTCTCACCCCACGCAGCCGCTTTACGAGCGCGCTCTTCTGCCCGCTCTTGGCCAGCCCGCGCTGCTCCAGGGCCGCCTTCAGGTCCGCCACCCGCAACAGATGCAGCGGCTTGCCGTCCAGCGTCACCTCCTCCCCGTCCGCCATCTTGCCTCCCTGCCTGCCTGCCCCGACGACACCGACCCCTTCCGGCCGCTTCCGGAACGGGTTCGGCTCTTTCCGGTCCCTCCTTCGGCTCCTTCCGCCCCTCTCCGTTCGGCTCCTCCCGGAGCCGCTTCGGCTCCTTCCGGTGCCCCCCTTCGGCTCCTAACGGCCCCGACCCTTCGGCTCTTTCCGGAACCGCTTCGGTTCCTTCCCGTCCCGCCTTACGCTCCTTCCGACACCGCTTTGTCTTCTTCCGGGCCCGCTTTCGGCTCCTTCCGGTCCCTACTTTCGGCTCCTTTTGGTTCCCCCTTTCGGTTCCTTCCGGTCCCCCCTTCGGCTCTTTCCGACACCTCTTCGGCTCCTTCCGGTCCCCCCTTTCGGCTCTTTCCGACACCGCTTCGGCTCTTCCCGGCCTCACTCCCCCCCCCCCCCCGGTTTTGTGACGTCACCACGCAGCCTCCTCTGCACACACGTTTATTGACGTCAGGCCGTGACATCACGCCCCCCCCCGTGACCCCGCCTTTAGCCACGCCCCAATGGCGATGACGTAACGAGGGGGGCGGGGCCACTCTTGGACACGCCCCTCCGGGGGGCGGAGCTCGGCGGATCTGTGGGGAGAGATGGGGGCAGGATATTGGGGGCTATGGGGCAGGATAGGGGGTGGGATATGGGGCACGATATAGGGAGCTATTGGGCAGGATATAGGGAGCTATGGGGCAGGATATGGGGGCTATGGGGCAGGATAGGGGGTGGGATATGGGGCACGATATAGGGAGCTATGGGGCAGGATATAGGGGCTATGGGGCAGGATGTGGGGCAGGATGTAGCCGGCTATGGGAGAAGGATGTGGGGCAGGATGGAGGGAGCTGTGGGGCAGGATATGGGGCGGGAAATAGGGAGCTATGAGGCAGGATATGGGGCAGGATCTATGGGTCACATCCTTACCTGGAGGCTCCTCCATGGGGCAGCCCCTCACACGCCGGGAGTGTTGGGGGGGGGGGGGGCAGAGCCAAGGCACTGGGGCAGAGCTATGGGGCAGGGGAAGGCACTTGTGGGGCAGCCCCACGGGGCTCAGGTGTGGGGCTGGAGCTGGACGGGGTGGGAGTGGCTCAGTTGTGGGGCTGGCACGTGAGGGGCTGCTGCTGCTCCACGTGGGGCTGGAGGTCACTGTGGGGCCCGCTATGGGGCTCGCTATGGGGCTCGGGCTCGCAGTCGGGGTACACGACGAGGCAGAGCTGCTGCCCGAAGCGCGTCAGGGAGGCTGCGGAGAGGGGTTGTGACCCATAGAGCCCCATAGCGCCCCATAGAGCCCCACACCACCCCTCCCCTTGCAGCCCATCCCCAGCCCCATAGATCCCCCCTATTGAGCAGGGGGAGGCGTGTCCTCAGCTGACCCCGCCCCCTGCAGCACTATACCGCCCCCTGCTGGATGCACCGCAGCGCGCTGCCTGCACCCCCCCATAGCCCTCCATAGACACCCCATAGCACCCCATATCACCCCACAGCATCCCATAGAGCCCCATAGACACCCCATAGCGCCCCATAGCACCCCATAGCATCGCATAGACACCCCATAGCACCCCATAGCATCCCATAGAGCCCCATAGACACCCCATAGAGCCCCATACACTCCCAACAGCGCCCCATAGAACCCCATAGCACCCCATAGCTGCCCCATAGAGGCACGTACCCACTGCTTTGCGCAAGGGGGGGTAGCGAGCCCCCCATCGCTCCACTATCAGGTAGAGGGGGGCTCCGGTGGCCATGACCCCCAAGCTCACCCCACAGACCAGGGGCTCGGCCCATAGGGAGAAGAGCAGGAGCAGCGCCCAGAGCACCACGTAGAGCACCGGCACCCACAGCCACACCTGGGGGGGGAGAGAGAGCGTCAGTGGGGCAGCTATGGGGCACTGTGGGGTGTCTATGGGGTTCTATGGGGCTCTATGGGGTGCCTATGGAGGGCTATGAGGGGGTGCAAGCAGCGCGCTGCGGCGCGGCCGCTAGGGGGCGGTATAGTGCTGCAGGGGGCGGGGTCAGCCGAGGACACGCCCCCCCCGGAGGTTCTGTGGGGCTGGGAATGGGCTTTAAGGGGTGTGGGCGTGGCTTAGGGAGCAGTGGGCGTGGCTTAGGGAGCAGTAGCCCCCTGTTGGGGTAGGTCAATGGGTGCAGGTGTGCGGTTGGGCTCTATGGGGCAGGGCTCTATGGGTCCGCTCTCTATGGGTCTATGGGTCTGGTTTCTCTCTATGGGTCCGGTGCCTATGTGTCTATGGGTCAGGTCTCTCTCTATGGGTCCGGTCCCTATGTGTCTATGGGTCAGGTCTCTCTCTATGGGTCCGGTCCCTATGTGTCTATGGGTCAGGTCTCTCTCTATGGGTCCGGTGCCTATGTGTCTATGGGTCAGGTCTCTCTCTATGGGTCCGTTCTCACCATCAGTGGGGCCGGGTGTCCGCGGTGGCGCTGGCGGAGCCGCAGGAGGGCGCAGACGCTGAGCCCGTACCTGAGCAGATCGAGGGAGCCTGGTCTCTATGGGGCAGGGCTCTGCTATGGGGCAGGGCTCTGCTATGGGGCAGGTCCATGCTATGGGGCAGGGCTCTGTGGGTCCCTACCAGAGCAGGTTGGTGAAGCCCACGTAGCTCAGCAGCGCCTCCGTGTCCCCCCCCACCAGCATCAGCAGCGTGGAGGCGCACTGCGGGGACAGGCAGCCAATGGGAGCGAGGGGAGGGAAGGAGGGGACCAATGGGGGTGAGGGAGGGACCAATGGGGGTGAGGGAAAGGGAGGGAGGGGACCAATGGGGGTGAGGGAGGGGGCCAATGGAAGTGAGGGAGTGGAGGGAGGGGACCAATGGGGGTGAGGGAAGGGGAGGGAGGGGACCAATGGGGGTGAAGGGGGAGTGGTCAATGGGGGGGCGTGGTTATAGGGTCTATAGGGGTGTCTACAGGGTAACAGAGGGTCTATAGGGACTATAGGGGTGTCTATAGGGACTATAGGGATATCTGTAGGGTAACAGTGGGTCTATAGGCACTATAGGGGTGTCTATAGGGTGACAGAGTGGGACTATAGGAGTATCTATAGGGTAACAGAGTGGGTCTATAGGGACTATAGGGGTGTCTATAGGGGAACAGAGTGGGTCTATAGGGACTATAGGGGTGTCTATAGGGGAACAGAGTGGGTCTATAGGGACTATAGGGGTTTCTATGGGTCTCTATGGGTCTCTATGGGTTTTCTATGGGTCCCTATGGGTCCCTATAGGGTTGCTATGGGGTGTCTATGGGGTGTGTACGGGGTCTCTCACGCTCAGCAGCAGGGCGGGCACGGGGGTGCTCCTCTCCACGTGGATCATCCCCAGCAGCGCCGGGAGCTGCCCCTCGCACGCCCCCGCGTAGAACAGCCTGCAGGGGGCGCCCAGTGCGCCGTGACGTCACCGAGCCACGCCCCCCGTGACGTCACCGCAGGGGTGGGCAGGGCTTGGTGTGCCCCGCCTCTTAAAGGCACAGCGCCCCCCCCTTTTTGCCCCACTTGTGTTAAGGCGCACGCTATGGGGCAGGGGTTCGCTATGGGGCAGAGGGGCTGACCTGGAGCAGGTGAAGAGGCAGCCATTGATCCCCCCAAAGGTGGAGAGGGCGACCCCCACGGGCATGGTCCAAGCCAGGGGGCCCAGGGCCCGCTCGCCAAAGGTCTGTGGGGCAGGAGATAGGGGGCAGGTTATGGGGCAGGAGATAGGGGGTTATGGGGGGGATAGGGGCAGATTATGGGGCAGGAGATAGGGGGTTATGGGGGGGATAGGGGGCGGGTTATGGGGCGAATAGGGGGCGTGTTATGGGGGGATAGGGGGTGGGTTATGGGGGGATAGGGGGTAGGTTATGGGGGGGATAGGGGCGGGTTATGGGGGGGATAGGGGGCGGGTTATGGGGGGATAGGGGGTGAGTTATGGGGGGGATAGGGGGTGGGTTATGGGGGGAATAGGGGGCGGGTTATGGGGGGATAGGGGGTGGGTTATGGGGGGGATAGGGGCGGGTTATGGGGGGGATAGGGGGCGGGTTATGGGGGATAGGGGGTGGGTTATGGGTGGGATAGGGGGTGGGTTATGGGGGGAATAGGGGGCGGGTTATGGGGGGATAGGGGGTGGGTTATGGGGGGATAGGGGCGGGTTATAGGGGGGATAGGGGGCAGGTTATGGGGGGATAGGGGGTGGGTTATGGGTGGGATAGGGGGTGGGTTATGGGGGGAATAGGGGGCGGGTTATGGGGGGATAGGGGGTGGGTTATGGGGGGATAGGGGCGGGTTATGGGGGGGATAGGGGGCGGGTTATGGGGGGATAGGGGCGGGTTATGGGGGGATAGGGGGTGAGTTATGGGGGGGATAGGGGGTGGGTTATGGGGGGGATAGGGGCGGGTTATGGGGCAGTATGAGTGGCGTGGAAGGGGTGTGGCTTAGGTCATGAAGGAGGCGGGGCTTAGGGGACAGAGGGGGCGTGGCTCGTGGTATTAGGGGCGTGGCTGTGGAGGGGCGTGGCTTACGACGGCGACGGCCTCTGATTGGAGGATCTCCTGGGGGTCCATGGCGGTGACGTAGGCGGCGTTGGCGGCCACGTAGACGAAGGTGACCAATGGGATGGAGATGAAGATGGCGCGGGGCAGGTTCCTATGGCAACCGAGCCGAAATGAACCCAAAATGACCCAAAATGGGCCCAAAATGATCAAACATGTCCCCAAATGACCCAAGATTACCCGAAGTGACCCAAAATGAACACAAACTGCCCCAAAACGAACCTGAAATGACCCCACAGTGACTAAGAATGACCCAAAATGAACCCAAAAGGACCCAAACTGCCACAAATCGACCCAAAATGACTCAAAATGTCCCAAAGTGAACCCAAAATAAACCAAACTGACCCAAAATGGACCAAACTGCCCCAAATCGACCCAAAATGAACCCAAATTCACCCGAAATGACCCAAACTGCTCCAGCCTGCCTTCAAAGTGACCCAAAATCTGCCCAAAATGAACCGAAAATGACCTCAAAATGACCTGGAAATGACCCCAAAATGACCCAAAATGACCCAAAATAAACCCGAAGTGAACCCAAAATGAAACTAAAGTACACCCAAAATGAGCCTGAAAATGACCTGGAAATGACCCAGAAATGACCCCAAACGACCCAGAAATGCCCCGGAAATGATCCCAAAATGACCTGTAAATGACCCAGAAATGCCCTGGAAATAACCCCAAAACGCCCCTAAATTACCCAAAAATGCCCCGGAAATGCCCCAGAAATGACCCCAAAACGACCCAGAAATGACCCCAAAATGCCCCGGAAATGGCCCCCAAATGCCCCGGAAATGACCCCAAAACGACCCAGAAATGCCTCGGAAATGACCCCAAAATGTCCTGAAACGACCCGGAAATGACCCCCAAATGCCCCGGAAATGACCCCAAATGCCCCGGAAATGGCCCCCAAATGCCCCGGAAATGACCCCCAAGTGCCCCGGAAATGGCCCCCAAATGCCCCGGAAATGGCCCCCAAATGCCCCGGAAGTGACCCCCAAGTGCCCCGGCAATGCCCCCCCCACCGCTGTGGCTCCCGCAGCTCCTGGGTTCCGTAGTTGAGGAAGTTCCACCCCCCGTAGGCGAAGGAGCCCTGGAGCAGCGCCACCGCCACCGGGCCCAGCCCCGGCCACCACTGCCAGGGCACCGCGGTACCAGCATCACCAGTACTGACACCATCACTGACACCGGTACCGGCACCGGCACCATCAGCACCGGGTACCAGCACCGGCTGCAGCGCCTGTGATGGGTGCAGCCAGCCCGGGCGGCCTGCGGGGATAGAGGGGGATTAATGGGGGGTTAATGGGGGTCTATGGGGGTCTATGGGGGTCTATGGGGGTCTATGGGGGGTCTATGGGGGGTCTATAGGGGGATATGCGGGCTATGGGGAGATAACAGGGAGATAATGGGGATCTATGGGGGGATATGGGGGTCTATGGGGGGATATGGGGGGTAAAGGGGTTCTATGTGCTGTTTTGAGGGTATTTGGGGTGTTTCGGGGCTGTTTTGGTCCCATTTTGGGGGTGTTTTTTGGTGTTTTGGGGTTTTTTGGGGTGTTTTTGTGTGTTTTGGGCTGTTTTGGGGCTGTTTTGGGGTGTTTCAGGGTGAACTGACCAGTGCACAGGCTGTAGAGGTGTTTTGGGGCTGTTTTGGGGTGTTTCGGGATGGTTTTGGGGTATTTTGGGGTGTTTTGTGCTGTTTTGGGGTGTTTCCGGGTGTTTTTGGGGTGTTTTGGGGTGTTTTGGGGGTGTTTTGTGCTGTTTTGGGGTGTTTCAGGGTGTTTTTGGGGTGTTTTTGGGGTGTTTCGGGGTGTTTCCGGGTGTAACTGACCAGTGCAGAGGCGGTAGATGCCGGCAGCGATGACGATGCCGAGCGCCGCCAGCTTCCCGGCCGTGCAGACGTCCTGGACCCGCGTGGCCCAGCGGGAGCTGCGGCACCCGACCCACGTCAGCAGCACTGAAACACGGGGATGAATGGGGGGAATGGGGGAATGGGGGGAATGGGGGTATGGGGGGTAATGGGAGGTATAGGGGGTAATGGGGGGAATGGGGGGATAAGGAGTATGGGGGTAATGGGGGTATGGGGGTATGGGGGTAATGGGGGTAATGGGGGGATATGGGGGGTATGGGGGTAATGGGGGTAAAGGGAGTATGGGGGTAATGGAGGTATGGGGGGAGAGGGGGTATGGGGGGGATAGGGAGTAATGGGGGTAATGGGGTAATGGGGATATAGGGGGGATAGGGGGTAATGGGGGTATGGGGGTAATGGGGTAATGGGGGTTAGGTGTATGGGGGTATGGGGAGGATAGGGGGTATAGTGGGTAAATCTCCCCAATTTGGTGTAAACTTCCCCATTTTGATATCCATCCCCCCCATTTTGGGTCCATTTTAACCCATTTTGGGTCCATTTTAACCCATTTTGGGTCCATTTTAACCCGTTCTGGCCCCATTGCCCCACTCACGCAGCGCAGCAGCCGCCAGCAGCCGCAGGGCCGGCTCGGCCATGGGGCAGCCCCACGGCGCCAATGGGGTGAGGAGGGAGGCGGCGAAGGTGAGGGCGATGACGGCCTGCGAGGTGGGGAGGATCACCAGGACCGAGACCCAGAGGCGCAGGAACCTGGGGGGCAATGGGGGCTATGGGGCTATGGGGGGATATGGGGGTCTATGGGTCTCTATGGGGGTCTATGGGGCTCTATGGGGGTCTATGGGGCTCTATGGGGTGCCTATGGAGGGCTATGGGGGGGGTGCAGGCAGAGCAATGCAGCGCGGCCGCTAGGGAGCGGTATAGTGCTGCTGTAATGGTCTATGGGGGTCTATGGGGGGTCTATGGGGGGGATATGGGGTGTGTATGGGGGTCTATGGGGGGTCTATGGGGGGATATGGGAGGTCTATGGGGGGTCTATGGGGGTCTATGGGGGTCTATGGGGGGTCTATGGGGGGTCTATGGGGGTCTATGGGGGGTCTATGGGGGTCTATGGGGGGGAATGGGAGGAATGGGGGGCAATGTAGATGGGGTCAATGGGGGAATGGGGGTCAGTGGGGGGGAATGGGGGTCAATGGGGGTCAATGGGGGTCAATGGGGGTCAATGGGCTCAATGGGGATGGGGCAATGGGGGTCAATGGGGGTGAATGAGGATGGGGTCAATGGGAGGTAATGGGAGTGGGGGGTAATGGGCATGAATGGGAAGGAATGGGGGGCAATGGGGATGGGGCAATGGGGGTGAATGGATGCTATGGGTCACCCCACTGCCGCTATGGGTCAGCTCCACAGCCGCTATGGGTCACCCCACAGCTGCTCTGGGTCAGCCCTATGGATGCTGTGGGTCAGCGCTCACCCCACGAGCCCCCCGAAGACGTCCTTGACGTAGGCGTAGTCGCCCCCCGCGCGGGGGATGCGCAGCCCCAGCTCCGCGTAGCACAGGGCCCCCAGGGCCGTGAGCGCCCCGGCCGCGCCCCACAGCGCCAGCGCCAGCCCCACGGAGCCCGCGTGCGCCAGCACCCCCCGGGGGGAGATGAAGATCCCCGAGCCGATGATGTTACCTGGGGGGGGGAACGGGGGTCAATGGGGGGGAATGGGGGGAGTCAATGTGGGGAATGGGATCAATGGGGGCAATGGGGGGGAATGGGGCAATGGGGCTGAATGGAGGGCAATGGGGGCAAATGGGGGGGAATGGGATCAGTGGGGGTGAATGGGATCAATAGGGGTCAATGGCGGGCAATGGGGATGGGAATGAATGGGGGGCAATGGGATCCATGGGGGCAATGGGGGAAATTTGGGGAATGGGGGCAATGGGGGAATGGGGCCAATGGGGGGCAATGGGGGCAATGGGGACGGGAAAGAATGGGGAGCAATGGGAGGAATGAGATCAATGGGGGTCAATGGGAGGCAATGGGGATGGGAATGAATGGGGGTCAATGGGGGTCAATGGGGGCAATGGGGGTCAATGGGGCTGAATGGAGGGCAATGGGGGTCAATGGGGCAATGGGGGCAATGGGATCAATGGGCCGAATGGAAGGCAATGGGGGTGAATGGGATCAATGGGGGTCAATGGGAGGCAATGGGGGGCAATGGGATCAATGTGGGGCAATGGGATCAATGGGGGGCAATGGGGATGGGAATGAATGGGGGCAATGGGGAGTATGGGGGGCAATGGGGATGAATGGGGGACAATGGGAGGCAATGGGGGGCAATGGGATCAGTGGGGGACAATGGGGATAAATGGGGGACAATGGGGTCAATGGGAGGCAATGGGGGGCAATGGGGATGAATGGGGGGCAATGGGGCCGGGAATGAATGGAAAAAAAAACCCGAAAGTGAAGGAAAACGCCCCCAAATGTCCCCAATGAAGGAAAACGGCCCCGAATTGCCCAAAAGGTGAGGGTTTGGCCCCAAAGCGGCGCTGGCGCTCACCCACGATGATGCTGCAGGCGCTCAGCAGCCCCAGCTCCTTCCGCAGGGACACCCCCCCGCCGCCAGGGGGCGCCCTCGCCGCAGGGGTCCCCTCTGCCATGGAGGCCACTGGGGGGGGCTGCAAGGGGGGAATGGGGGGGAAATAGGGTTAAATTGGGTGGAAATGGGGTTAAAAAGGGGGAAATGGGGGAAATGGGGTTAAATAGGGAAATGGGGTTAAATGGGGTGGAATTGGGGTTAAATGGGGTGGAAATGGGGTTAAAAGAGGGGAAAATAGGGTAAAAGAGGGGAAAATGGGTTGAAATGGGGTGGAAAATGGGGTTAAAGGAGGGGATAATGGGGTTAAATGGTGGGAAAATGGGGTTAAAAGAGTTGAAATGGGGTTAAAAGACAGGGAAACGGGGTCAAAAGACAGGGAAACGGGGTTAAAAGACAGGGAAATGGGGTTAAAAGACAGGGAAATGGGGTTAAAAGACAGGGAAACGGGGTTAAATGGGGATAATGGGGTTAAAAGAGGGGATAATGGGGTTAAATGGTGGGAAAATGGGGTTAAAAGAGGGGAAAATGGAGTTAAGTAGGGGAAAATGGGGTTAAATGGGGGGAAATGGGGTTAAATGGCGGGGAATGGGGTCCAAAGGGGGTTTAAGGGGGTCTATGGTGTGTAAAGAGGGGCTTAAAGGAGGTTAAGAGGCCTAAAGATTGGGTTTAAATGGGGCTTAAGGGGGTCCAAGGGGGTTCCAATGGGGTTTAAGAGGGCTTTAAAGAGGATTTAAGCTGGTTTAAGGGGTTCCATAGGGGTCCATAGGGGCACAAAGGGGGGCTTTAAGGAGTTCCAATGGGGTTTAAGGGGCCCAAAGGGGGATTTAAGGTGGTTTAAGGGGTTCCATAGGGGTCTATAGAGGGATTTAAGGTGGTTTAAGGGGTTCCCTAGGGATCCACGTGGTTCCAAAGGGGGATTTAAGGGGGTCCCAAGGGATTCCAAGGGGGTTTTAGGGGGTATTTAAGGGCCCCATAGCCCCCTATAGCCCCCATAGGGTGCCCATACCCCCCCATAGGGTGCCCATACCCCCCCATAGGGTGCCCATAGCCCCCCATAGCCCCCCATAGGTGCCCATACCGTGTCCGGGACCTTCGCCCTCAGGTGCGGCTCCAGGAGGAGGGAGGAGGAGGAGGAGGAAGGAAGGGAGCGGGGGTCACGTGGGGCCGGGGCCGCCATTCCCGATGGGAAGCAGCCCCCCCCCCGCTCCGTGTCCTTATAGGGAGCTGCGGGCGCCTATAGGGGCCATTATAGAGCCCCATAGAGCCCCTATAGAATCCTATAGAGCCCCATAGAGCCCCTATATCCCCTAATGCACCCCTTTATACCCGTTATATCCCGTTATGTATGCCGTTACCTGCCCTATATCCCATTATATACCCTTTTATCCCCCCTATATCCCATTATATACCCTTTTATCCCCTCTATATCTCATTATATACTCCTTTATTCCTTTTATATCCCATTATATACCCTTATATCTCCCCTATATCTCATAATATACCCCTTTATTCCCCCTATATCCCATAATATACCCCTTTGCCCCCCCTACATCCCATAATATACCCCTTTATCCCCCCTATCCCACTGCACCGAGGTGGGAAATGCACCCAAATCCCTCCGATTTTGGATTTTCTATGGTTAAAAGTGCAGAAACCGGCTAAAAAAGGATAAAATAGGTTAAAAATGGGTAAAACCCGGTCCAAAATGGGTAAAAACGGGTAAAAAAGGCATTAAGAAGGGTCCCATTGGCTACAAATAGGCGAAAAATGGGTCAAAATCCACCAAAAGGGTGATTTTCTGAGGTCAAATGTGTCGGGAAATGGCTCAAAAGGGTTTATAAAGATTAAAAATAGGTGAGAAAAGGGTTATAAAGGTTAAAAATGGGATAAAAACGGGTTATAAAGGCTACTAATGGGTTAAAAACATTTATAAAGGTTAAAATAGGGTAAAAAAAGGTTTATAAGGGTGAAGAATGGGTTAAAAAGGTTTATAAAGGTTAAAATGGGTCAAAAAACGTTAAAATAGGTTATAAACGTTAAAAAAGTTTAAAATGGCTTTTTAAAAGGCTGAGAAGGCGAAAAACGGCTAAAAAGGAATTCTAGATCACTTTAAAATGGTCAAAAAATGGGTGAAAACCAGTTAAAATCGGGTTAAAACCGGTTAAAAATGGGTGAAAACCGGTAAAAAATGGGTTAAAACCGGTTAAAGATGGGTTATAAACCGGTTGAAAATGGGTGAAAATCGGTTAAAAAATTGATTGTAAACTGGTTAAAAAGGGTTAAAAATGAGTTAAAACCGGGTGAAACCCGGTCAAAAATGGGTTATAAACCCGTTTAAAAATTGGTTAAAAATGGGTGGAAACCGGTCAAAAGTGGGTGAAAACCGGTTAAAATCGGTCGAAAACTGGTTAAAAAGGGTTAAAAAAGGGGTTAAAACCGGTCAAAAGTGAGTTAAAATGGTTTAAAATGGGTTAAAACGGGCTAAAATTGGGTGAAAACGGGTCAAAATGGGTTAAAATTGGGTTAAAACGGCCCAAACCCGCGAACCCGCTCCCTCCCCTCCGCGCCTCCCCATCAAGCGCCAGCCCCGCCCCTTTCCCCCAATCTCCCCTTCCCATTGGCCCACTCCCCGTTAACCCCTCCCGTCTCCCGCCGTCCTCGCTCTCCCATTGGCCGCCCCCTCACGTAAGCCCCGCCGCCTTCCCCCGCGCATGCTCAGTCGGGCTCGGGGCGGCCATGGCGGCGCTGCGGGGCGGCGCTGCGGGGCAGCGCGGGGCCGAAGCGGCGGCGGCGGCGGCCGCGGCCTCCGGGAGCGGCTCCGGGCCCACGGGGGACGGCGGAGCCCATTACGGCAACGGGGTCGGGGCGGGGGGAGCGGAGGAGGCGGCGGCGGGAGGGGGGGGGAGCGGAGGGGTTGGGGGGGAGCAGGCCTCCGGTGGAGGCGGAAGTGGAGTGGGGGGTGTTGGGCCCGGTTCCGGTGGTCCCGGTTCCGGTTCCGGTGGTGCCGCCGGTCCGCACCCGCCGCAGGAGGGCGCTGAGGAGCTGGAGGAGGAGGAGGCCGCGTTAGGGGATGGGGACGGAGGCGACGCCGCCATTGAGGACCCGGTAACGGCGGGGCGGAGGGGGGGGGAGAAGCACGTGGGTTTATGGGGGATGGCGGGAAAGGGGTCACGTGAGGCGGGAGGGACGGGGCACGTGGCCGGGGGGGCTGTATAGGAAGCTATAGGGGGTTATGGGGGGATATAGGGGTTATATAGTGTTATAGGGGGGATATAGGAGTTATAGAGGGGATACAGGGGCATTATGAGGTAGTTATAGGGGGTTGTAAAGCAGATATAAGGGTTACAGAGAGAATATAGGGATTATTGGTGCTATAGGGGCAATATGTGGGGCTATGGGGTGCCTATGGGGTGCATGGCCCCATTCCCCCCCCATTGACACCCCCCCCCCAGGAGCTGGAGGCCATCAAGGCCCGGGTGCGGGAGATGGAGGAGGAGGCCGAGAAGCTCAAGGAGCTGCAGAACGAGGTGGAGAAACAGATGAACATGAGCCCCCCCCCGGGCAACGGTGGGTCCATGGGGCGCTATGGGGCTTTATGGGGTGATAAAGGGGCGCTATAGGGGAGTGCAGCAGCGCGTTGCGATGCGCCCAGCAGGGGGCGGTATAGTACTGCAGGGGGCGGGGTCAGCGGAAGACACGCCCCCACCCTGTATCTGATGGGTATATATATACAGAAGGTGCTATGGAAGGATATAGGGGGGCTATGGGCTGTCTGTGGGGCTCTATAGTGTCTGGGGTGTGTATGGGGCTCTACATGGTCTCTATGGGGCTGTGTAGTGTGTCTATGGGGCTCTATAGGACTCTGGGGTGTCTATGGGGCTCTGTAGGGTGTCTGTGGGTTCTACAGGATGTCTATGGGGCTCTATGGGGTGTGTGTGGGCTTCTATATTTGTCTGTGGGGTGTCTTGTGGGCCTCTATAGGGTGTCTATGGGGTGTCTGTGTCCCCTGCAGCCGGCCCGGTCATCATGTCCTTGGAGGAGAAGATGGAAGCCGACGCTCGCTCCATCTACGTGGGCAACGTGAGTTCAACGGGGCCTCAATGGGGCTGCCCCCCAAGTGCCATAGGGGTGACTGGGCCCCCCCTTTGCCCCCCATTACAGGTGGACTATGGGGCGACGGCGGAGGAGCTGGAGGCCCACTTCCATGGCTGCGGCTCCGTCAACCGCGTCACCATCCTGTGTGACAAGTACAGCGGGCACCCCAAGGGGTGCGTGTGTGCTGCCCCAAAATGACCCAGAACCCCCGGCTTTCACCCCAAAATCCCCTTGATTGGCCCTAACGGACCCCCCCCCCCCCCTTTGCCCCTTCCAGCTTCGCCTACATCGAGTTCTCCGATAAGGAATCGGTGCGGACGTCGATGGCCCTGGATGAGTCCCTCTTCCGAGGGAGGCAGATCAAGGTAGGGCCCCCTATAGAGCCCCCCTATAGGGGTACGTAGGGCTCTCCTATAGGGGAATATAGAGAACCCCTGTAGAGGTATATGGATCTCTTCTATAGGGGTATGTACAGCTCCTTTATAGGGGTATATACATTTTTCCTATAGCGATGTAAAGAGCAGTACTATAGAGGTATATAGAGTTCTGCTATAGGACTATAGAGATCCTTCTCATGGAGATACATAGATCCCACTTATAGGGATATATAAAGCACTCCTATAGGGGTATATAGAGCTCCCCTATAGGAGTACATAGATCCCCTATATAGGGGTGAGTGCAGTCCCTGTATAGGGGTATATAGATCCCCCCCTTCCCTTATGTGGCTAAGCCCCGCCCTCCCTAATCCCTAATATGGCTAAGCCCCGCCTCTCCGCGCATGCGCAGGTGATCCCGAAGCGCACGAACCGGCCCGGGATCAGCACCACGGACAGGGGCTTCCCCCGCAGCCGCTTCCGGGGCCGAGCCGGCGGCTTCAGCGCTTCCAGGGCCCGCTTCTACAGCGGGTACAGCAGGGCCCGAGGCAGGGCCTACAGGTATGGAGAGGGCAATGTACAGGGGGGGATATGGGGCGGTAAAGGGGGCTAAAGAGGGTGATACAGGAGGGGATATGGGGGGCATAAAGAGGGGAGTATAGGGGGGATATGGGGGGATATAGGGGGGATAAAGGAGGGATATGGGGGATAAAGAGGGGGGTATAGGAGGGGATATGGAGAGGATAAAGAGGGGATATAGGGGGAATAAATAGGGGGAATATGGGGGGTATAAAAAGGGGGATACGGGGGGATAAAGGGTGGTTATAGAGGTGATGTGGGAGGCTATAGATGGGATATGGGGGGGTCCCCATTCTATATCTCCCCTTTATCCACCCCTATTCCACCTGTATATTCTCCTTATAGCCTCCCCATAACCCCCCCTATATCTCCCTATAGCCTCCCCAGAACCCCCCCTATATCTCCCTATATACTATCCCCCTATAGCCCCCCCCATAACCCCCCCTTGTTCCCCCCACAGGGGCCGGGCCAGAGCCACCTCCTGGTACTCCCCATATTGACCCCACTGGACCCATGGACGCTCCCATCTCGGATATGGGGGGGGAGAGGGGGGGTTGTTTGTTAATGGGGGGGGCGGTTGTGTCGTCCTCCCCCTCCTCTTTTAACCCCCCCGTTCCCATAGGCCTCTTGGTACCCCCCCATTGAGCCCTATTGGACCCTATGGACCGTACCATGTTGTGTTGGGGGGGTATCCCCCCCCTATTGACACCCATTGGAGGGTTCCCCCCCATTGACCCCTATTGGACCATACCATGTTGCGTTGGGCGGGGGGAGTGTCCCCCATTGGAGGGTTCCACCCCCCCATTGACCCCTATTGGCCTGCATGGACTGTACCATGTTGGATTGTGGGGGGATCCGGCCCCATTGACCCCTATTGGAGGGTCTCCCCCCCATTGACACCCATTAGAGTGCCCCCCCCCATTGGCCCCCATGGACCATACCATGTTGCATTGTGGCGGGATCTGGCCCCATTGACCCCTATTGGCCCTATGGATCGTACCATGTTGTGTTATGGGGGGATCCAGCCCCATTGGCCCCATGGACCGTACCATGTTGCATTGTGGGGGGATCCAGCCCCATTGACACCCATTGGATGGTCCCCCCCTATTGGGACCCATTGGATGGTCCCTGCCTATTGACACCCATTGGCCCCCGTGGGCTGTACCATGTTAGGTTGTGGGGGGGATCCAGTCCCATTGACACCCATTGAAAGGTCCCCCCATTGGCCCCCATGGGCCGTACCCTGTTGCAGTGTGGGGGGATCCAGCCCCATTGACACCCATTGGCCCCCATGGACCGTACCATGTTGCATTGTGGGGGGATCCAGCCCCATTGACACCCATTGGATGGTCCCCCCCTATTGACACCCATTGGAAGGTCCCTGCCCATTGACACCCATTGGCCCCATGGACCATACTGCGTTGGAGATGGGGGGAGCGGGGGGGGCCTCCCCCCTATAGACCTTCAGTGTCTTTATCGTTGCAGGTGGTGGACCCCATGGAGGACGTCGCCGTGGGGCGGGGGGGTGGTGGTGGTGGGGGGGGGGTTGGTTATGGGGCAGCCCCACATCAATGGGGGGGGGTGGTGGTGGTGGTTGTTTGGGAGGGGTAATAAAGTGGCCCCGGGGGGAGATAATGGTGTTTGTGTGTGCTTATGGGGTGTCTGTGGGGCGCTATGGGGTGTCTATGGTCCGTCTATGGGATGTCTATAGGGCGCTATGGGGTGTCTACGGAGCGCTATGGGGCTTCTGTGAGATGTCTGTAGGGCGCTATGGGGTGTCTATGGGATGCCTGTAGGGCGCTATGGGGTGTATGTGGGTCTATGGGGTGTCTATAGGGCTCTATGGGGCTCTATGGGGTGTCTATACGGCTCTATGGGGTGTCTAGGGCTCTATGGGGTGTCTATAGGGCGCTATGGGGTGCCTAGAGCTCCATGGGGTGCCAGTAGGGCTCTATTGGGTGCCTATGGGGTGTCTATAGGGCTCTATAGAGTGTCTATGGGGCTCTATTACCCCCTATGGGGCCCTGGCGCATGCGCGCTCCGCCCTCACTCCCCCGCCCTCCTCGCGCATGCGCAGGCACCTTCCCCCCCCCTCAGCCGTTGCCGCCGTTTTGGCGGCCGCATAGGAACGGGGGGGTGCGCCTTTCATGGCGTTTATTTCATTAATATTCATTAATTAGTGGTTATTAATTAAAGCCGATTAATTAATTAACCCCCTCGCTGTTCATTAACCCCGTTCGGAGCCGGAAATGGGGCCGGAAGCGCTTCGGGATGAGGTAAAGGAAGGGTTGCGGGGAGCCGGTGCCATGGGTACCGCAATGGGGAGCCTCATGGAGGGGGGCTATAGGTGCCTTATCGGGTGTTGGGAGCTATGGGGCGCCCCATAAGCGCTTATAGGGGGTGTTATAGCTGCCCCATAGCCACTTACGGGGCGCCCCATAACCTCCCTCCCATTGATTTCCAGGCGACCCTACACAAACAAGGGATCAAGGCCGCGGGGGTGACGTCAATGGGGGCGTGGCCTCACCAGGCCACACCCCCTCCCCCTCCATAGGGGTCTTATAAGGGGTGACACCCCCCCCCCCACTTGTGGGGCAGAGCAGAGGCCATGCAGAGGGTCCTGAGCAGGCTGCGGGGGTGAGTGGGGCCCTATGGGGGGTCTATGGGGTGCTATAGGGTGTCTATAGGGGTCTGTGGGGGTCTATGGGATGTCTATGGGGCACTATGGGGTGTCTATAGGGCGCTATGGTATGGCTATGGGACTCTGGCATGGATATGGGTGTCTATGGAGCATTATGGGGTGTCTATAGGGTGCTATGAGGGGACTGTGGGGGGTCTATGTGGTGTCTGTGGGGGTCTATGGGGTGTCTATGGGATGTCTATGGGGTGTTTGGGATTCTATGGGGTGTCTGTGGGGCGCTATGGGGTGTCTATGGGGTGCTATGGGGTTTCTATGGGACACTGGGGTGGCTATGGGGCTCTATGGGGTGTCTGTGGGGTGTCTATAGGGTGCTGTGGGGTGGATATGGGGTGCTATGGGGCTCTGTGGCTACTTAGGGAGCTAATGGGGTCCAATGGGTTTAGTTAGGGGTACTATGGGTTTGCTTATGGGTCCTGTGGGTCTCCCTATGGCCCCTATGGGGCAGCTCCCCGTGGCCCACTGCCCTTTGCCCCTGTTTTCCCACCTTCCCATCAGCCCCTGCGGCATCCAAAGTCCACTTCCAGGGGTCCCACCCCCTCCCTAGGGGTCTGCCCCACACCCCCCACCCAATGGGGTGGCTATGGGGTCAATGGGGTGGCTATGGGGCTCTGTCAGGGTCAATGGGGTGGCTAAGGGGGTCAATGGGGTGGCTATGGGGTGTCTATGGTGAGCTATGGGGCTTCTCTGGGTCTCTATGGGGTCTCTATGGGTCCCTATGGGGTCTCTATGGGGTCTCTGTGGGTCTCTATGGGTCCCTATGGGTCTCTATGGGGTTATGGTGGGCTCCAGGCCGCGCGTTGCTGAGCATCCAGCAGGGGGCGGTATAGTGCTCGGGAGGAGCGGGGTCAGCCGAGGCCACGCCCCCTTTTCTTTATGGGTCTGTATGTGTGCTATGGGTCCCTATGGGTCTCTATGTGTCTCTATGGGATCTCTATGGGTCTCTATGGGTCTCTATGTGTCTCTATGGGTCCCTATGGATCCTAATGTGTCCCTATGTGTCTCCCCCAGGTGCCCCCCCGCTCCCATCCCTCCCCCACCGCTGCGCCCCCACAGCTCGTCCCCTCCCCCCACCGCGAGCTCCCTGCCGGGGGGCGCCGAGGCTCTGCGGGCCCTGCCCCCCCCCGCCCGCGCCTTCCTGGAGGAGGGGGTTGGGCTCTGCCGGCCCCGCGCCCTCTGCCTCTGCGATGGCTCCGCCCCCCAGGGCAGCGCCCTCCTGCGGGAGCTCAGCCAGAGCGGCACCGTCAGCGCCCTGCCCCATAGGGACAACTGGTGAGGAGCTATGGGGGTCTATGGGGGGTCTATGGGGGTCTATGGGGGTCTATGGGGGTCTATGGGGGTCTATGGGGGTCTATGGGGGTCTATGGGGGGTCTATGGGGGTCTATGGGGGTCTATGGGGGGTCTATGGGGGTCTATGGGGGTCTATGGGGGTCTATGGGGAGCCGCTTCCATTGAGTGTCAATGGTGCTGGGGAGCGCGGCACGGGGTGGCCGCTAGGGGGCGCCATAGTGCTCTATGGGAGTCTATGGGGGGATATGGGGTGGTTATGGGGCTTGTGGGGTTCTAGGGGGTGTCTGTGGGGTCTATGGGGGGATATGGGGAGTCTATGGTGGGATATGGGGGTCTGTGGGGGGATACAAGGTGTCTATGAGACTCTATAGAGTGTCTATGGGGCTCTGTGGGGTGTGTATGGGGGGATATGGGCGTCTGTGGGGGGATATGGGGATCTATGTGGTGTCTGTGGGGTCCCATGGGGGTTCTATGGGTCCCTATGTGTCCCTATGGGGTCTCTATGGATCCCTATGTGTCCCTATGGGGTGTCTAGGGGTCCCTATGGGGAATCTATGGGTCTCTATGGGTCGGTGTGTGCCCCACAGCTGGCTGGCCCGCACGGACCCGCGGGATGTGGCGCGGGTGGAGGCGCGCACGGTGCTGGTGACGGCGCGGCCGGAGGACGCCATCCCGCTGTCCTCCCCGCCAGCAGGGGGCGCTGTGGCGCACAGCCTGCTGGGCAACTGGATGAGCCCGGAGGAGCTGCAGCGCGCCGTCGACGACCGCTTCCCGGGCTGCATGGAAGGTGCGGGGCCATGGCGGGGCTGTTGCGTGTCCATGCATGTCCATACACGTACATGCGTGTCCATTTCCCCAATTCCCCAAAGTTTTCCCCAAATCTTCCCCAATTTTCTCCAAATTTCCCCAATTTTCTACAAATTTTCAAAAATTTCCTCCAAATTTTCCCAAATTTTCCAATTTCCCCAAATTTTCTCAAAATTTTCAAGTTTCCCCAGATTAATTTTTCTCAAATTCTCCTCAAAATGCCCCAAATTTTTCCAAGTGTCCCTAAATTTTACAAAAAATTCCCAAATTTTCCCAAAATTTCCCCCAAATTTCCCAAATTTCCTCAACGTTTTCGAAGTTTTCCCAGATTTCCCCAAATATCCTTCAAATTCCACCCAAAATTCCCCACAGTTTTGAAAGTTTTGCCAGATTTCCTAAAATTTCTTCAAATTTTGCAATCTTTTCACAAATTCCCCAAAATTTCCCCGAATTTCCTCAATTTCCTTGTTTTTTTATTGATTTCCCACTTTTCTCCAGATTTTCCCCAATTTTTCAAAAAAATTCCCAAATCTTCCCTAAGTTTCCCAAATTTTCCACAAATTTCCCCCATTTTTCCCTGAATTCCCCCCAAATTTTGCTAATTTCTTCATTTTTCCTCAAATTTCCCCATTTTCCCCCATTATTTCCCCTAACCCCCCATTCCCATCCCCATTCCCCCCAGGCCGCACCATGTACGTGATCCCGTTCCTCATGGGCCCCCCCGGCTCCCTGCTGGCCCGCGCTGGGCTGCAGCTCACAGACTCCGCCTACGTGGCCGCCTCCATGCGCATCATGACCCGCGTCGGGGCCCGCTTCCTGCCCTCGGCCCCAGCACCCGCACCCGCAGCCTCCTCGGCCAATGACTTCGTGCGCTGCCTGCACTCCGTGGGCCGGCCCCGCGATGGTGAGCTCAATCAAACACACCCCAAAATGGGGTTATTCACCCCAAAAACGGGCTTGTTGACCCCAAAAATGGGCTTATTCACCCCAAAAACACCACCCAAATAGGTTTATTGACCCAAAAACGGGCTTATTGACCCCCAAAACAAGTTCAATGACTCAAAAATGGGCTTATTCACCCGAAAAACACCCCCCAAATGGACTTATTGACCCAAAAATGGGCTTATTGACCCCAAAAATGGGTTCCTTGAACCAAAAATGGGTTTATTGACCCCAAAACCACCCCCGAAAGGGGTGTATTGACCCAAAACTGGGCTTAGTGACCCCCAAACCACCCCCCAAATGGGTTTATTTAGGGTTAGCCCCATTTCCCCCCATTTCTAATCTAGTCCCCCCATATTTTCCCATTTCCTTCAATTTTTCCCCATTTTTCTGCATCTCACCCCATTTCCCCCATTCCTAACCTCATTTCCCCCATTTCTAACACCGTTTTTCCCCATTTCCCCCACTCCTCACCCCATTTATCCGCATTTCCCCCATTTTCCTCATTCCTAACCCCATTTCTCATCATTTCTCCCCATTTCTCTCTGATTTCTAACCCCATTCCCCCCATTCCCCCCCCCCCCCAGGCTCATTCCCAGTGCCCTCCTGGCCCTGTGACCCCCCCCGCACCCTCATAGCCCACGACCCCCAGCACCGGCGCATCCTCTCCTATGGCAGCGGCTATGGGGGCAACAGCCTCCTGGGCAAGAAGAGCCTGGCCCTGCGGCTGGCCAGCGCCATGGCACGGCAGGAGGGCTGGATGGCAGAGCACATGCTGGTGGGTATGGGTATAATGGGTTATAATGGGGTTATAATGGGGTTATAATGGGGTATAATGGGGTATAATGGGGTTATAATGGGGTATAATGGGGTTATAATGGGGTTATGGGGGCAAGAAGAGCCTGGCCCTGCGGCTGGCCAACGCCATGGCACGGCAGGAGGGCTGGATGGCAGAGCACATGCTGGTAATGGGGTAGAATGGGGTATAATGGGGTTATAATGGGGTATAATGGGGTAAATGGGGTTATAATGGGGTAGAATGGGGGTTTTGGTGGTTTTTGGTTGTTTTCAGGTGGGTTTTGATGGTTTTGGGGTGGTTTTTGATGGTTTTGGGGTGGTTTCTGATGGTTTTCACGTGTTTTTGGGTGTTTTCCGTTCCTTTTTGCCCGTTTCTCCCCGTTTTCACCCCATTTTGCTCCTGTTCCCCCCCCCCTAGATCGTGGGCTTCCAGGACCCCCGTGGCCGCAAGCGGTACCTGGCGGGCGCCTTCCCCAGTGCCTGCGGCAAAACCAACCTGGCCATGATGCGGGCGGCCCTGCCCGGCTGTCACGTGACCTGCGTGGGCGATGACATCGCCTGGATGCGCTTCGACGACCAAGGTGGGGCCCGACCCATAGGAACCCCATTGAGGGACCCCATAGAGCCCCATTGACCCCATTGACCCCCATTGACCCCCATTGTCCCCCATTGTCCCCCCCAGGCCGCCTCCGCGCCATCAACCCCGAGTGCGGCTTCTTCGGGGTGGCCCCGGGCACGTCGGAGGCCACCAACCCGGTGGCCATGGCCACCATCCGCCGGGACACCATCTTCACCAACGTGGGGCTCACCAGCACCGGCGATGTCTATTGGGAGGGCATTGGCCAATCCCTGCCGCCCGGCACCACCCTCACCTCCTGGCGCGGCCAACCGTGGCAGCCCGGTCAGGCTCCGCCCCCCCCCATTGACCTCCCATGGCCATGGGGCTGCTCTCTGATTGGTCCATTCCCTCCTCCCAGGTGACCCCGAGCCTTGTGCCCACCCCAACGCCCGTTTCTGTGCCCCGGCCTCCAACTGCCCCAGCCTGGACCCGGCCTGGGAGGACCCCGAGGGCGTCCCCATCGACGCCATCATCTTCGGGGGGCGGCGCCCTGAGGGTGAGGCTCCGCCCCCTTCACCTCCCATCATCCAATGGGCTTGCAGCAGGGCTATGATGTCATCACCCCCCTCTGTTTCCAGGTGTCCCATTGGTGTTCGAGGCCTTCAGCTGGGAGCACGGCGTCTTCCTGGGCAGCGCCATGAGGAGCGAGGCCACTGCTGCTGCGGAGCACAAGGGTAGGGACCCATAACTGGGGCCTGGGACCCATAACCAGGGCCTCTGCCCCATAACCAGGGCCTAGGGACCCATAACTGGGGCTTGGGACCCATAACCGGGGCCTCTGCCCCATAACCAGGGCCTAGGGACCCATAACCCCCCTTTGCCCCATAAGTGCCCCATAGCCCCATTCCCCTGCCCCATAAGAACCCCATAACCCCCCCGTCACCCCATAAGTGCCCCATAACCCCCCCTGTCCCCCCACAGGCCGCCAGCTGCTCCACGACCCCTTGGCCATGCGCCCCTTCTTCGGCTACAACGCAGGCCAACACCTCCAGCACTGGTTGGACCTCGCCTCCCGCCCGGGCGCCCGCCCTCCCCGCATCTTCCACGTCAATTGGTTCCTCCGCGACCAATCAGGAGCCTTCTTATGGCCGGGCTTCGGGCACAACGCCCGCGTGCTGGCCTGGATCTGCGCCCGCATTGGTGGCGAGGCCGGCGCCGTGGCCACCCCCATTGGGCTCATCCCGGAGGAAGGGGCCCTGGAAGGGGTGGAGGGGGGGCGGCACCGGGAGCTCTTCCCCATGGATCGGCGCTTCTGGGAGCGGGAATGCCGGGAGCTCCGGGACTTCTATGGGGAGCACTGGGGGAGGCACCTGCCCCGCGAGGTGATGGCGCAGCTGGAGGCGCTGGAGGGCAGGGTGCGCAAGATGTAGGGAGATCATTGGGCGGGGAGAGGAGGGGTGGCCAATGGGAACGCGGTTGACATCGTGGTTGGCCAATGGGAACTCGTTTGGCATCATAATTGGTCAATAGGGATGGGCAGTGGGGGGGTATCATCATGGTTGGCCAATGAGAACCCGTTTGGCATCATGGTTGGCCAATGAGAACTTGTTTGCCATCGTCGTTGGCCAATGGGGATGGGCAGTGGGTGGTCATCGTCATGGTTGGCCAATGAGAACCTGTTTGACATCATGGTTGGCCAGTCGGGATGGGTATCATCGTGGTTGGCCAATCGGCAGCCACTAGACATCGTGGTTGGCCAATGGGGGTGGGCAATGGGTGGCTCTAAGTGCGGTTGACCAATCAGCACACATTTGACCCACATGGGTTGACCAATGGCCACAGTCGATGGGCGCCATCATGGTTAAGCCCATGCACCCCATTGGCTGAGAGATGGCCAAGTCCTCCAATTGGCCAATGGGAGGAGGCAGCGCTTTTACGGACCAATAAAAAAAGCCCCTGGGGGGGCGTGGCTTTGAACTGCGCTCACGTGTCCTTATTGGGGCGGGGTCAGTAGTGACGTCAGAGGGGGCGGGGTTTAGCTGCGGAGGACCCAAAGGCCGGGGGGAGGGGGGGGGCAAAGGGCGCTAAGAGGGAGGGGCCAAACGCCCCCCTCGCAGCAGCCAATCAGGAGCCGCCCTCTCCTCCCTTATCAGCCACTCGGGAGCCGCCCTGCCGACGCACCTTTTAACAGCCAATCAGAGGCCGCCGCTTAGCGCTCAGCGTTCTGCCCCGCGCACGTGACCTCTCCCCGTCCAATCAGCGCTCGCTCCTCCCCTCCGCCGTGCGTGGCCACGCTTCCCCCCCCCCGGCTTCTACGTCGTAAACAAGCGGCGGCCGAGCGGGCGCGCGCGCGGGCACGGCGGGCTCTGATTGGTCAGCGGGAACAAAGGGGAGGGGCGGAGGCAGGGGAGGGGGAGGGGGGAGCGGGTCCGGCTCCTGATTGGTCAAGGGAAGGGGTGGGCGCGGGAAGCGGCAGGGGGCGCCAAGAGAAGCCCCTCGGGTTCTGATTGGCTGAGGAGCGCGGAGGTGGGGGGGAGGACGGAAGGGGGTGTTGCTGTGGTAACCGGAAGCACCGCCCTCCCTCCCCCGACGTTGCAGGCAGCCAATGGGGTCGCAGAGCAGCAGCGGGGGGGCGGGGCCGGAAGAGGAGGAGAGGGGGGAGGGGCAGGAGGAGGATGACGTCGACCTGAGGCGGGTCCTGGCCCTGCTGCTGGGGAGGTGAGGGGGGGGCTATGGGGGGGCTGTGGGGGTCTATGGGGTCTCTATGGGTCCCTGTGGGGTCTCTGTGGGTCACTATGGGTCCCTATGGGTCTCTATGGGGCTCTGTGCGTCTCTATGGGGTCTTTGTGGGGTCTCTGTGGGGCTGTATGGGGTCTATGGGGTCTCTATGGGTCTCTATCGGTCTCTATGGGGTCTCTGTGGGTCTCTATGGGTTATGGGTCTCTATGGGGTCTCTGTGGGTCTCTATGGGTCTCTATGGGGTCTCTGTGGGGCTCTATGGGTCTCTATGGGGTCTCTGTGGGTCTCTATGGGTCTCTATGGGGTCTCTGTGGGTCTCTATGGGTCTCTATGGGGTCTCTATGGGCTCTGTGGGTCTCTATGGGGTCTCTATGGGTCTCTATGGGTCTCTATGGGGTCTCTGTGGGTCCCTATGGGTCTCTATGGGTCCCTATGGGTCTCTATGGGGTCTCTATGGGTCTCTATGGGTCTCTATGGGGTCTCTATGGGTCTCTATGGGTCTCTATGGGTCTCTATGGGGTCTCTATGGGTCTCTATGGGTCTGCCCCCCAGGGGCCGGGCCGGCCGGGACCCCCCGGATGAGGAAGAGGAGGAGGAGGAAGAACCCTGGGGGTGGGGCGCCGCTGACGTCACAGCCCCTGGTAGGAGGGGGCGGGGCTTATGGGAGGGGGGGAGGGGCTAAAAGGGCTTTCCTTATAAGGGAGGGCACGGGGGAAGGGGGTTGGGGCCGTGGCTCCTCCCCCTTCTGACGTCATTCACCTAAGCCCCGCCCCCTCCGGACACACGGGCTCTGGACGGACACGAGCTGAAAGCTCAGCTCCTATTGGCCCGCGGAAAAGGGGCGGGGCCGGGCCCCACCGAGGAGAACCTGCCCCGGCTGCTGCGGCAGGTGAGGGCTATGGGGGGGTATGGGGGGGTCTATGGGGGGATATGGGGGGGTCTATGGGGGTTTATGGGAGGTCTATGGGGGTTTATGGGAGGTCTATGTGGGGTCTATGGGGGTCTATGGGTTGTCTATGGGGGGGTATGTGGGTTTATGGGAGGTCTATGGGGGGTCTATGGGGGTCTATGGGTTGTCTATCGGGGGGTAGGGGTCTCTGTGGGTCCCTATGGGTCCCTATGGGGTCTCTATGGGTCCCTATGTGTTCCTATGGGTCTCTATGGGGTCTCTCTCCCCCCACAGCGTGAATGGGGCCGGTGCCGCAACAGCAGCTTCTCCTATGGGGAGCGCTCCCTGCTGAGCTCCCAGTGAGTACCTGGGGGGGGCCGTGGGGGGGCAATGGTCACTTATGGGGCACCCCATAACCAACCCTTCCCCCCCTTTCTGCCCCCCAAGTTTCCTGCCCAATCACGAGGCCTTCGCTGACTCCTACCCCCAAAAGGCTTTTTGTGGCCTCTTCTCCCCCGATGGCTCCCTCTTCGTGTCGGCCTGCCAAGGTACCTATGGGGCGCTATGGGGTGCTATGGGGGACCTATGGGGTGTCTATGGGGTGGTATGGGGGGGCTATGGGGGTCTTTGGGGGGTCTATGAGGTCTATGGTGGGTGTATGGGGGTCTATGGGGTGTCTATGGGGTGGCTAATGGGCTCTATGGGGGGGTCTGGGGGCTTTATGAGGTCTCTGTGGGTCTCTATGGGGTCTGTATGGGTCCTTATGAGGTCTCTATGGGGTCTCTATGGGTCTCTATTGGGCGCCATGGCTCTGTGTGAACCCCGCCCCCTGTGTCCCCGCCCCCAGACCACACCCTGCGCTTCTATTGGTCGCGGGAGGTCTCCCGGCTCCGCCCCTTCCGCTCCACCCGCGCCCGTGACGTCGGCTGGAGCCTCCTGGACGTGGCCTTCACCCCCGACGGCTCCCAGTGCCTCTACTGCAGCTGGGCCAACTGCGGTCTGAGCCATAGAGACCCATAGCAATGGGGGGGGGATCTGACCCATAGCGACCCATAGCAATGGGGGGATCTGACCCATAGAGGGAGTCTCTGACCCATAGAGGGAGCCTCTGACCCATAGCAAGGGGGGATCTGACCCATAGAGGGAGCCTCTGACCCATAAGGGGGGGGCTGACCCATAGCAAGGGGGGGAGATCTGACCCATAGCGACATGGGGGGGATATCTGACCCATAGCAATGGGGGGTCTGCCCCATATCAGGGGGTTCTGACCCATAGAGGGAGATTCCAGCCAATGGCAGTGGAGCTTGACACCCCCCCCATTGGGGTCATTGAGAGGTCCATGGGGGAGTGGCTTAAGGGGGTTGGGGGCGTGGCTTGTGTAGGACACGCCCCCTTTTCCCCCAATCCAGTCTATGTTTATGACATCTATGGGGATGGAGACACGCACACGGCTCTGGACTTGAGGTATGGGGCTCTATGGGGCTCTATGGGGTGTATGGGGCTCTATGGGGTAGGGTATGGGGTCTATGGGGTAGGTTATGGGGTCTATGGTTCTGTATGGGTCTCTATGGTCTCTATGGGTCTCTATGGACATGTCCCGGCCCCCATGACCCCCATTCCCCCCCTGCCCCACTGTTACCCGTGGGTCCCAGCCCCACGCGTGCCCCCGCAGGCCGGACGAGCGCCGCTTCGCCGTCTTCTCCCTGGCCGTGGGGCCGGACGGGCGCGAGGTGCTGGGGGGCGCCAGCGACGGCTGCATCTACGTCTATGACCGGGAGGCGCAGCGCCGCACGCTCAGGGTACGGCCCTGTGGGGCAGGGGGTCGGAATGGGGGGTTAAGGGCCTCTATGGGGTGGGCAAGGCCCGGTATCTATGGGTCTGACCCACACTTACGGGTCTGCCCCACATCTATGGGTCTGACCCACACTTAGGGGTCTGACCCACGCTTAGGAGTCTGTTGTCCTTCTATGTTTCTGCTCCCTATTTATGCGTCTGAGCCCCTTTTATGGCTCTGCACCCTACTTATGGGTCTACCCCGCATCTATGTGCCTGCCCCCCACTTACCGGTCTGCCCCACATCTATGGGTCTGCCTCTCACTTATGAATCTGCCCCACATCAATGGGTTTGCCCTTTTTCTATGTATCTGCCCCCCCACTTGTGGGCCTGCCCCCCTTACATCTATGGCTCTGACCCCCATCTATGTCTCCTCCCCCCACCTATCAGTCTGCCCCACACTTATGGGTGTGCCCCACATCTATGGCTCTGCCCCACATCTATGGGTCTGCCCCACACTTATGGGTCTGCCCCACACTTATGGTTCTGCCCCCCACTTATTGGTCTGCCCCCCACTTATTGGTCTGCCCCACACTTCTGGGTCTGCCTCACACTTATGGGTCTGCCCCACACTTCTGGGTCTGCCCCCCCCCCGTGTGTGCCCCGCAGGTGGAGGCCCACGAGGACGACGTGAACGCGGTGGCGCTGGCGGACGCGGGGGGGCAGCTCCTGCTCTCGGGGGGGGACGATGGCGTCACCCGCGCCTGGGACCGGCGCTGCCTGGGCCAGGACCGGGCCCGCCCCGTGGGGCTGCTGGCGGGGCACCGGGATGGGGTCACCTTCCTGCACCCACGGGTGGGCATGGGGGGGATGGGGGGCAATGGGGGCCAATGGGGGACAATGGGGGCTATGGCGGCTAATGGCAGGCAATGAGGGGCAATGGGGTCAGTGGGGGTCAATGGGAGTTAATGGGGTCTATGGGAGTCAATGGGGGGCAATGGGGGTCAATGGGGGTCAATGGGGTCAAT